CTCCGCTCCCTCGCAAATATTGCCATTTCCCCGGCTGGTTTTGACTCCTCCACCCAGCGCAGCCATGGAGTTTCCATAGAAACATGAAGATATTAAACTGTAAATAATAATTTCTCCATAAAAAAAAAAAAAAGGAGTGTGGGGGGGGGGGGAAGAGAAAGGAGAGGCGGGCAGGCTTGCAAGCCGCGGATCCGATGCCGTGCGGCATCGGGGCCGCTTCCCCATGCAGGACGTGGTGTCAGCAGCGAGGGCGATGCTTTGGCTGGGGTCCCCGAGTACCCCAATGTCCCACACGGGGTCTGGTGTCACCCCCCCTGCCAGGGTGGGGGTCCCACGTGCCCACCGACCGCGCTCCCTTTGGTGCCGGAGGGTGGCTGAGGGATGCTGCGCCGCTCCATCCACCTCCGGCTGCTGATTTATCCGGGTTGGAGACTCCAGCCTGACATCTATAAAAATTAGCAGATAAAGAGCTGGCCGGGCCATCCTCTGCCAGCTTTGGGTAAATAAACGGGAGCTTTTCTGCTGCAATGACACATACCTGATTGGAAGGAATTGTTATTTACTGTTGCCTGTTCAATGGTTATTTTTAAATGGCCTAAAGTTAAACACATCAGTGTTTTTCATTTTCTCCTGCTCAGGGATATGTTTTTGTCCGGGGCTTTTACCCTTTCTATCTATTTAAGTGATACTTTTTATCATAAATGACTTTTTTTTTTTTTTTTTCCCCTCCCTGCTATCGAGCACAAAGCAGAGCTGGAAAACCATCAGGGAGAGGAGAGGCAGGCGCTGCCACGGGACGGGCAATTGGGGTTTTGTGGCCAGGGACACGCACACCTTTGGGCACCCGCCTGAGACACCGACAGCCAGGACAGCTACAAACACATCTCCAACCTCCCGTCCCCAATTAAATCCGCTCTGCCTGATTAGTGCATCGGTGGGGAGATTTTTAGGGCTCCACCTTTGCTCTGCTGTGCCGGGATGCTCAGCACCGTGCCGGGGACCTGGGGACCACGGGGTGGCCGGGCTCAGCCCCGACACGGGGCAGCAGCCCCTGCCCCAAACCTGCCGGGCCGGGGGGCCTGGGATTATCCACAGCGTAACATCCCCCAGGAATAAGATTGCAGCTTAGGGCCTAATGGAAAAGAGGAGAGAGATGGGATTAAAAGGAAAATAATGACTATTTCCTTAGCGAGGCCATGGAAATGAGAAGGGGATTAACGACCTCTTTACCAGCAGACCCCAATCCCGCCAGGCGGTCCCGGACCCACGGATATCCGGAGCTGCTGGAGATGCCCACGCTCAGCATCACACCCAGGGACCCGTTCCCGAGGGTGACACCAGGGTTGGTGGCACTGACACCCGCGGGGACCTGCCTCGTGCCCACCCGAGCGCCTGCCACCGCCCCCTGCAACCGCCCCTGCCCAAAACGAAGGCGATTTTGCAAATATTTGCCCCCACCGTCATTTTCCTCTCCCTGCAGATTTGTTGGGGAAAAAAATAAAATAAAATAAAATATTCTGCAAGGAATAAAACACCGAAAATTAAAACTTCACTTGCCGAGGCACAAGCCCGAGAATAAACCTGAAAGGCTCCTTTCTCTCGCCTTCGGTTGCACACACCGTGCTTTGCAATTGGCTGCTTTCCTGGAATAGATTCAGTTGCTATGATACCAAGTTTGCTTTTAACGAACCCCAGAAAATTAATGGCATTCAGCAGATAAGTCCTTAAAGTGGAACCTATTTTAAGAAATTCTTTCTGAATGGTTTACAAGTAGTCAGGAGGGAAGAGAAAGCTTCCCGAGGGCGGCAGAGCCCGCGCTCTCCCCACCTCTGCTCCCGGTTGGGATTTGGGGGCCGGGGCGTTGTGTTTCGGGACACCCTTCAGGCTGGGACCCCAAATGCAGAGGGTAGGATGAGGCGGGAGGTGTCAGCTCCCTGCACCTGCCCTGAGCATCCCTCCTGCTGCTGCGGCCGCTTCCTCCCGGCTGTCCCCACGCGGCCTCGCTGCTGCCACGATCGAGCATCTCCCTCCGCTGGTGCTACAGAGCCGCAGGCAGGGCCCTGCCGGCAGCCCCGGCACGTGAAGCTGGAGGATTTGGGGACAGACCACGGGAAATCCTGTTCCTGCAGAGCCCAGGGGCCCTTGGAGGAGCTCTGGGCTCAGCACCGAGGAGCTGGGGAAGGTTTTCCTCCAGCTGTATGAGCAGAGCGCAGGGTGGCATCAGGCGGCGGATGGGGTGCGTTCCCCCTCCTGGGACCGGTGTGAAGGACACAACCTGGGGTCCCCACCACGTTTCCCACTGCACGGGGACCTCTGGATTCAGGAACAGCCGCGTGTCCTGGCATTACACCGTGGTGGATGCTTTCACCCACCCTCAGCATCGCTGCTGCTAAAGCAAGCGCGTTCCCGTCCCCGAGCCGTGGGCAGAGCCGCAGCAGCCATAAAGGTTGTCAAATGCCACCAGCACCATTACGGGTTAGGAACAAGAAGCTGAAATCCCACCAACAATCTGCTCTGCTTCCTCCCACACCTCATTTCAGGCCCTTTTGCTCCCTGCCCACAGCACGGCCCTAACCAGGCCAGCCCAGGGCATCCCTGCGGGTTGGGGGGAAGGATCAGCGCCCGGCATCGCGGCACACGCAATCTGCCCCTCTCGCTGGTGGAACAAAGCAAGAGCTATCGAGGGAGAGAAAGGGGCACCCCCTTCCTCTCGCCCCCCAAAATCCTCCTCGCTCCCCTCTCCCTGCAGACTCCGGCAACGTCAGTTGGAAGAGGAGGTGCGACTGCACGCAGAAGCGAAACTCCGGCCAGGAGAAACGGGGCAGGGAGAGGCTCACGGCGCGAGGGGTGGCGGGGTTGGCATTTTCCTATTTGGAGCCGCTGCTCTTCCTCCTTGCTTTTCTCAAGCCAGGGAAGAGACGCACCAAACAGAACAGCGAGCCGGGGTGCGGAAACGTCCCCAACGCCACCGCCCTACACGGGCTGCGGAGCCCCTCGTGCCGTGTCCACCTCCCGCAGGCCTGATCCTGCGAGGGCTTAACACGTGCCCGACCCGGCACAACATCGCCGGCTGGGTCCATCTGCAGAGCTTTCTGCCCGAGGAAGCAGGAGGGAAGGAGCTCGGCGCACGTGGGCACGGGGCACCCCAACCCGCGGCACGGCAAGGAGCAAAGCCGGAGCCCAGGGAGGCACGCGGAGGGGAGGCTGCGACCGCGGCAGCAGCGGCACGGTGGGAGCAAGGCTCCCAAATCCACCTCTCCGAGGAACAAAGCTGCACTATCTCTGCAGATGCAGAATAAGCGACGAGCGGCGATGATTTATTTCTCTTCCCCAGTAGATAAACCGGCCTCGGAAACGGGTTTGCGCTAAATTACAATTTGCATGCGGTAATTTATTTAAGCAACTTTCCTCCTACTTCGTTATAAAACAGGGCTTCTCTGGGGGTTATTTCTGAGCTGGCCCCGTTTCATTTGTCTCCAGCACACCCGGTGCAAACCGAGCTTAATTGTCGGCGTGGAAATTAAAACCACTGCAGAAAAAAAATAAAATAAAAAAAAATTAATAAAATAAAAGGTTCTGGGTTTGTAGCTAGCCTGAGGAACCCCGGGTTTGAATAGAAATAATCACCTAGGCACAGACGCTAGCTCTGGGCCTCAATAAAAATGATTAAAGACAAAACCCCACTGAAATTTCCACTCCACAGACGCGGCGCGTTTGGCTTCCAGCCGCTCTCCCCCGGCGAAGGCGCCGTGGCCGGTGCCTTGGGGAGGCCGGCGGCCGCGGGGCCCCTCTCCTGCCGGGAGGGCAGGGATTTCTCCCGGAGAATAGCGAGCGGGTTTTTACATTCGGTTCTCTAGCTTTATGATATCACATACACTCATACAGCTAGATAACCAAAGAGAAAAACCAACCCAGGTCTTTTTTAAAATCGGGCCTCGGCCGTGCCGCGCAACCCCGGGGAGGTTTCGCTCCGGCACCGGCGAGCCACCGCGGCCCGTTGGAGCCCCCCGGGGTGGCTGCCGGCCCCGTCACCTCGCCGCGGATAACGAAGGGACCCCAACGGTTTGGGTGGGAGAGCGCGATGCGACGAGCGGCGCTGCCCACCCCAGAGCTCCAACCCAACACCTGCACCCCAAAGGGACGCGCGCGCACCCCGAAGCGTGCTCAGCCCCGCTCAGCCCCCCCACAGCCTAGGGGCCGTGCAGGGCACGGTGCTCGCTGGGCGCCATCCCCGCAGCCGCTGCCAGCACCCCAGGGACCTGCATCCTCCCCAAGCCTAAATTCGCCCCCAGCCCCAGCCCGGAGCCCGCTCCCACTTTGTAATTACTGTAAATTACTGGCGGGGAACTGCTGAGTCATGAGAGTCGCTGGTTGAAGGGACGGACCCAGCGGAAAGGGCCCCGCGGGGTTTCCACCGCATCTCCACTCTGCCCTCCTCTTCCTCCCCTTCCTCCCGCAGCCGCTCTCTGAAGCCGGGCCCCGCTCACGACCCCCGGGGGCGGGACCGGAGCCTGCACCGCCGGGGGGTCCCCGTGCCCAGGGGGGAAGATGCGGACCCCGCATCTTCGAGGGGGACCCTTTATAGCCGGGGGGACCCCGAATATTTGGAGGGGACCTCTCATATCTGGGGAGGGGGGGGACGGGACCGGTTGATGCCCCGAAGGGGCAACCCCGGAGCTGCCGGGGGGGGGTCCCGTGCTCGCAGTGCAGCCTCGCCCCCAGCGGGACCCGAAGGATCCCCGCACCGGGAGGCTCGGGGCCGGTCCCCGGGCACCGGCCGGGCCGCGGGGGGGTTCGCTCCGGGGTCCGGTGCTGCCCCAACAGGGGGGCTCCGGCCAGGGCGGGGGAACCGCGGCGGCACCGCAGCGAGGCAAAGCTCCCCCGGGCAGGGAGAGGAGCGGGGAGAGGAAGGGGGAACCCCCCCAAAAAAGGGGAACCGGGGAGGGGAACCGGGACTGGGAACCGGGGAGGGAACCGGGCGGGAACCGGGGCGGGGGTACCTGTCGCCGTCGGCTCCGGGTGTCCGCGTCCTTTCCGTGCTGCCGGGGTGGGGAGGAGGCTGCCAGCCCCCGCCCGGTGCCGGTCCCGCTCCCGGAGCCTCCGGGACCTGCCTCTAAAGTTGAGGCAGAGCCGGCGGAGGGCGGGGAAGGGCGGGAGGAGGGACGGGGCGGCCGGCGGGGACAAAGCCCGGGCGGTGGGGCCGGGGCAGGGGTCACCCCCCCCGGGGGCAGAGCCATTCGCCACGGCCGCCGCTTCCCCCCCTCCCGGGGGCCGCCCCGTCTGCTCGCCCCCCCCCCTTTACCCAACACCACGGAGCCTCCCGGCTCGCCGCCCCCCCAGCCCGGCCGCAGCCGGCCCGCCCCGTCGGGGGAGGCGGCGGTGCCCCGAGGCTAACCCCGCTCGGGCCGGGCTGTGGCTGGGCCGCCCCCCCGCCCCCCGACCCTCTTTACGCCCCCCCCCCCCCGGCCGGGCGTTAAACCCGACGGGGAAGGGCTGGGGCGGGGAAAAGGCCGGTCCTGAGCGAGGCGGGAGGGAGGGGGGGGGAGAGAGGGAGGCGGGGGCAGCCGGACCCTCCCGTCGGGGCTGCGCTCCGCTTGCAAAGAGGCAAATTTTGCGGCAGCTCCGGACTAAAAACGGGCACGACCCCCGCCCCCCGGAAGGAACAGGGCCCCGTCGGGCCCGGTCTCGGCTTTATCCCCTAGCCCGGAGGGGGACGGGGTGGGGGGGGCACGTCTGGAGCCCGGGACAAAGCGGGCCCGCGGCTCCGAGGGGTGCCGGGGCAGAGCCCGGGGCGCGGCGCCGAGCTCCGGCTCCACGTCCCCCCCGTGCGGCCGCCCGGGGCCGGCCCTGCCCGGTGCAGGGGACACGCTCGGCTCTCCGGGCACGGCGGGGCAGCCCCTGAAGCCGGGCCAAGGGGGGGGGGGAATAGACCCTTTCCCGGCCCCCCAGCCTCTTTGCACGGGCAGCGCAACGGCGGGCACAGGCGCGCCCCCCGTGCGCGCACCGTGGGGTGCCCGGGCACCGATGCGCGCCCCCCCGGCCCCACCCTGGTGCCCACCGGGGAGCACTCCCCCCCCTTGCACACTCACCGGTGCACACGCACTGGTGCACACGCACCGCCGTGCACGCCCCTGGGGTGCCCGCACAGCTGTGCACGCGCACCCCCGCTCCGCACCCCCGGTTCCCCGGCTTTGTCCCGGCCCCGGGGGGGTCCGCATCCCTCTCGGAGCCTCTGCACCGCACCTGGCTCCGCAAAAAAAGGGCGGAAAACGAAACCAACCCACGGCCAGGGCTCAGCACCGGCATCGTCAGCCGCCGGGCACGGCCCCGACCCCTCCGGGATGCTGGATGCGGGCACCCCCCGGCCGGGCCCGGGTCCCGCTCCCAGCGCCCCGTGTTTTGGGGAGGGAGAACCAAGGGCGCACGGAACCGTCCCGACCCCTCTGCCCGCACCCACCCTGTTAGATATACCTATAGAAAAATATCTATATGGGTATGTTGGATCCCTACAGAAATATCTGCGCCCGAAGGAGCTGGGAGCCGGGCACGGCGGTGGCTTTGGAGGTGCCACCCCGCAGGCACCGGGGGCTCACTTGGGGCTCACCGGGGGCACCGGGGCTTTGTGCCCCGCACCGGGGCCTCCCGGCAAAAGGGAACCCTCGGAAGGAGCCCGGACCACGGGCGGCGGCCCCAGCACGGTGGGGCGGGGGCTGAGGATGCTCCCGCCGGCACCGGGCACCGGGTACCGGGCACCGGGTACCGGACACTGGGTACCGGACACCGGGTACCGGGCACCGGGCACCGGCCCCGCCGCTCTCCGTGGTGCTGAACGGCGGCCGCCGCCGCGGCGGGAGGCCCCGGAGCCGTGCGCGGTTGTGCTTCCTCGGCCCTTCTCTTTCCAAGCCGCCACCACTTCGTGATTATTGTTCTAATTATCATTAATTATTGTCGTGAGCGTCGCCGCCGTTCCCGTCGCTCGGGTGCGCGGCGGCACGGCGAACCGTTCCGAGTGGGAGACGGTGCCACCGAGGCAGCCGGTTGCCGAATTAACGGATCGTCGCCCCGTACGGCCCCGCTACCTGCCGCCCGCGGTCCCCCCACGGCTTGGTGGGCACGGGCACACCGAGCCGGTGCCGTTACCTCCGCCACCGGGCTCCGAAACACCGCCGCCACCGGGGATGGAGACGCGGGGCCCGGCACCGGGCGGCGGCGGCGGCTCCGGCGGGCTCGGCCCCGCTGCCGTCCACACCCCCGGGGGTTCCGCCGCCTCCCGGTCCTCTCCGTAACCCCGGCGGTTTTCCCCGGTGAAACGGTGCCTCCCGAGGGGGCAAAGCCCCCGCAATGGCCGCAGCCCCAAAGCTCCGCCGGGGGAACGAACGGGAGCCACGGAGCGGCCCCGGGAGCATCCTCGGGAATGGGCAGCTCCGGGTACCGGCGGGGCCGGGGCTCAGCATCCTCACCGGTCCCGTTCCTTCGCCTCCCCCCGGGCCCGGGAAGCCGCCGCGCAGGCACCGGGCGAGCCGCAGCGGCCCGGTTCGGCCCCGCCGGTCTCCCGGTGCCTCTCCCCTCGGCTCCGCGCCCCCGGGAGGGCCCGGGAAAGCTGCGGGGGAGGCTCGGCAGGGCCGGCAGCGAAGGGGCGGCTGCCCCACGCGTGTTCGCGGCGGCGGGAGGATGGCAAGGGGGGCCCGGAGCTCGCTCGGCCCCGTTCCTTCCCGGCACTTACCGAGCGCTCGGCCGCCTCCAGCCCTCGGCCGGCGGCTGCGGGCACCGGCTCGGAGCCCGGTGCCTCTCGTCCCCCGTCCTCCCCTCGCCGCCACCCCCGTGTGCATCAAATACCTTCACTGCAGCAGCCATGTTGGGCTCCGGTGCGAGCACGGCGCTCGCCGCAGGAGCCGCCGGGCGCCTCGGCGGGAGGCAGCGCGGCTCGGCTCGGCTCGGCTCGGAGCCGTGCTCCCACCGGAGGAACCGGCGGGCCCGGGCCGGTCTCTCCCGTAGCCCCGTTTCGCAGCCGTACCCCCGGCAGCACGGCAACTTGTCGCCGTTACCGGCAGCGCCAGGCCCGGGGGTCGCGGGAGGGTCTCGCTGCCCGCCCCGTCCCGGCCCACGGTGGGAACGGGCGAGCATCAGCCCCGGGGCTAACGCCCGGCGAGAGGCACGGAAAGCCGCAATTACCTCCTCGGCGGGCAGGCAGAGTCCCCCGGCGCAGCCTCTGGGCCGAGCTCACCTGGGGAGAGAAAAAAAAAAAAAAAAAAAAGGGAAAAAAAATAAATTATCTATCGAGATTTACGTATATATTTCTATCCGAGAGGCGAAGCAGCGAGCGCGACGGCTCCAACTTGGAGCAACTTTGCCGGGAGGCTGGCAGCGGGGGCGGTGCTGGAGCCCCCCCCCCAGCACCCAGCCCTTCCCGGCCCCCAGCAGCTCGGGGGGGGGGGTCCCGAGGGGAGCCCCGGCCCTAGCCAGGGGGCAAAGCCGGGCCCCGGCCTCTGGAGCTGCAGCAGCGCAGCCCCACGTCTGCCCGCCCGGTCGGCTGCAACGGGCACCGGGGGGCGAGAAACGGCAGTGCCGGGCCTGCAGCCCCCGGGGCTGGGGGGCACCGAGCCGCCCCCGACCCCCCCGTGCCGCGGGCACCGGAGCATCCCCGGCCGCGGGCCCGCAGAAGCGGGCAGCAGCCGCCGCTCCCCGGTGAACGGAGCCCGGCCCGCGCCCCTCGGAAGCGGATTTTCAGCTGTTTGTTGTTGGTTTGTGTATTTTTTTTCCCCCCTCCCAGAAATATAGATATTTTTTTTTCCTTCTTCTTTTTTCCCGCCCCGTTTTTTTTTTTTTTTCAATTTTTTTTTTTTTTTTTTAGCGTTTTGATTCCGGTGCTGTCGCTGGGAATTATTTGCATTTAAAACGCAACGACTCGTTCCCTGCACATCGCTTCGCACATCAATTCAACCAGCACCGGAGCATCGAGAGAGCGCCGGAGAGAGGGGGGGGCGACCCCCAGCAAAAGGGGGCCCAAACCCCTGGTCAGACCCTCCCCAATCGCTGCCCTCCCGGAGATCTCGATGTGTGCCGAAACTAAAGATTTAGCCGGCGCTCGGAATTGTTTTATTTCTGCTGTCGCTGTCACCCAAAGATGTGGTGGCAACAAAGACAGGGAGGGTGTTTGACGCTCGTATTTTTGGCCTGCTCCCGTGCAGAAATATTCCCCCTAAGCCCCGAACGCTTTGCAAAGATTGATCTCTCTAAAAGCAATAATAGCCTGCCCTGGGAAGTGCTTAAAAAAAGACAATCTGATTTTATATTTATCCGCACGCCGCTCCTAAGCCCGTCGGAGGGCACGCACAACACTCGCAGAAACTAATACCGAGGGGGGGGAGACTGGAAATGAGAGCGGAGAGAGCGGAGCCCCCCCCCCCCCGGAGCACACCGGGGCCGAACGCTTTCCCCTAGCCCGGCGGAGATTTCCCCGCTCGGGAAAACAACGGCGAGGAAATCCCCGCCGTGCTCGCTCGGGCACAGCCAGGAGCTTCAGCACCACCAGCACCCGAGTTACTTTTTTAGGAAAAAAAAAATAAAAAAAAAAAATAGAGATTTTTTTCCCCCCCCCCCTCTTTCTCCAAAATCAATTCAGCCCCGGCCCTTTGGGTTGGGGAATTTCTCCGTGGCTTCCCAGCCCCGCAGCGCGGATGGCACGGCTCGGAGGGGACGGGGGAAGGATGCCCACACCGACCACCGCCAGGATCCTCTCCAAAACCAACCCCCTCCCGGCCCCCAAATCCCTTCCCCGAACCCCCCGAAATAGCTGCACACACCGAAACTTCGCTCCGGCAGCCCCTTACCTCGGGCAGCGGGCAGGGCAGGGCAGTCGGTCCGGGCAGCCCCGGGGGCTATAAACCCCGGGTGGCTTTTGTGAGTTTGCCGGAGTTTCCCCCGGCTGTCCCCTTTTGTGTCCCATTGCCATCTCGAGGCCCTGATTAATTAATTTCACACTGGAGCCCGGCAGAAAATTTTCCCACAAACAAGTGGCCGGGGAGACGTGGAGCCCCAAAGAAAAGGAGTCAACATCAAGTTCAACAGCATGCGGGGAAGGCGATTTCCATCACAATCGCGTCTGAGCGGGCCCGGGCGGGGGGCGGCGGGCGGCGGCCCCCGCGCCCCCTCCGCGCCCCCTCCGCGCGTTCCCAGGCTCGGAACAATCGCGCTCTGTTTGCCTCGCACATGCCGGCGTTTGGGCACGGAGGCTGCCTTGTGATAACAGAAATAATGAAGGGGGCTCGGGGAAGGCGAGGGGGGGGTTGTGTGTGTGTGTGGGGGGGGGGGGGGGTGCGCTAGGGTGGGGGGAGAGGGGTGGAGAAAAAGGGAAAATGGAAAGCGGAGGGAGCCGCGCACACCGGGCTGCCCGCTGCCGACCTGTTGAGCCCCGACGGTGCCCTCGGAGTTTTGCTGCAAAAAATAAAAAAAAAATAAAAAAAATAAAAAAACGGCCAAAAGGGGCGGCTCGGCCCCAAAAGCCGGGAAAGGGACGGAGCCGGCTCCGTCGGGGGGGAACTTTCCCCAAGTTTGCTGCAAATCCTTCCCCCCCCCCCCCACACCCTCCCCAGACCTCAGCCACGCGTTTTCCCACAGCCCCGGGGGAGCGGGGGAGCCTGCCCCGGGGGAGCGGGGGCCGGGGCCCGGGGGGGGCCGAGGCGGTGGTGGACGTGTCCTGCAACCCAAGCAGCTCGGCTCCGCCGGGCATTGTCCCCACGGAGCCCGTGGCCATTGTTCCCGGCGCTGCGGGAGCCGGAGGGAGGGCAGCTTTCCACGCCTCGACCCCCCCCCCCCCCAGCCCCCCCTTACACACACACACACACACACACCCCTCCTTCGCCCCCACCCCGATACTCGCACCGGGCCTGGCGGGACCCTCTAATCCGGGGGAGGAAAAAAAAAAAAAAAAATAGCAGAAAAAAAAAAATCGCAACCCGCAGGAAAAAAATAAATAAAAGGGGAAAAAAAAAAAAAAAAGGCCCGGGTTGGGGGGGGGGGAAAGAAGGGAGCGTGGGGTCCCCCCTGGCAGACTTCCTCCAAGTTGGGAGAAGCGGCAGGGGGGGGGCGGGATGCTGCGGGGGTCCGCACCGCCCTGCCCCTGCGACCCCCCCCCCCCCATCTCGGGGGCTGCCCCCGGCCCGGGGAGTTCTGTGCGGGGCAGGGAGAGAGGGGAGCCGGGGGGGGGCGTTATTTACCTCCCTCCGCACCTCTGCATCCTTTAGGACTTAAGCGGCAGCGGGAGCCGAGAGCCGCCGGGACAGCGGCAGCATCCGGGAGGGGGGGGCAAGATGCTGAGCGCCCCCCCCCCCCCAGAGGCTGGAGCCGATGAGGAGCGGCTGAGCCGGGCTGCGGCTCCCGGCGAGGAGTGCCAGGAGCGGGGCTGGGAGAAGCGGAGCCCCCCCCGATCACGTTGCCGTTACGTGGGGTTAAACAGAAACGTCTGCCCGGGGGGCTTTAACGGGCCTGAGCCCCGATAACCCCCCCCAATTTCCCCCCCCCTCCCTCCCCCCCCCCCATAGAGACCGCCGGGCCCGGGGGGGGGGGGGGGCGGATTCCGCCCAAACATCCATTTTGTCCCTTTTGGAAATGGAGAGAAGGAGAGAGAGGAGGGAAAATGCGCTTTTTTTTTTTTTTTTTTTTTTTCCGCTTTCTCCATATTTTTACTACGTAAGGCATGACGTCCTCACGTCGGGAGCGGGATAGGTTAGCCCTGCGCTGGGGGGGAATGCACGGGCTGGGAAGGATGGGGAGGGGGGGGGGGGGGCCCACGGTGGGTGGGTGGGTGCTGGGGGGGGGGGTGGCGGGGGCGGCTCCGAGAGCAGAACCTAAAAATAACGGGGATTGTAGGGAAAAGAAAAATAATAATAATAATAATAAAAAATATTCCGGGTCACCCCGCCGGTGCAGCCCCACAAGGGCAGCGGGAGGCCGGGCCGGGTGGGGGCCGGATTCCTCCCCCCCCCCCCCCCCCGTGCCTCCTCCCGGCCCCACGCCCCGTGGGACCGAGAGGGGATCGGGGAGAGCCCGATCCGGAGCGAGGGGATCCGGAGCGAGGGGAAGGACAAGGGGCATGGGGGGGGGTCCTCCTGCCTTTGCCCCCCCCCCCCCAGGGCTGGTGCAGACGCTGCGGCAGGAGGGAGGGGGCGGTTGGGGTCACCCCGGTGCCCCGGGTGTGCTCGCAGCCCGGTGCAGGATTTATCTGTTCTCCGTGGAAACGCAACCAAAATCGGCTCATCTTTAATGAAAAATAAATAAATCTAATTAAATAACGCCCCGCCCTGGCTGTTAACACCCCCACGCTCCGAAGTAGCCGAGAGCACGGCGGGGGAAGGGGGGGGTCACCCCGTCCCGGCGCACCGGGATTTTCGGAGCGCATTTAAAAATCGGTGCCGGCAATCGGGAGTCGCTCCGAATTCGGACCGGGCCCGTTCCGTGCCCTCCCCCCCCCCCGCCACCCTTCCCAGCGCTGCCGGCTTTGGCCCCGGTGAGCTCCGCTTCTCAATTTCCCCCTCAACGAATATTTCTCCCCGCGGGGCTGGGGGCCGCCGGGGGGGGCTGTCCCGGTTCCCCACCGCCCGCCCCGTCCAACCGGGGCCGTTCGGGGCCCGTCCCGGTGGGGGGGCAGCAGGAACCGGGCCCGGGTTCAGACCCCAAAGCCGGTCCTGCCCCAATCCCGACGGGGGGGTCCGGTCGGTGGCTTCTCCCCCCCCCCCAAATCCCGGCCCTGCCACCGGGGCCTTCCCCGGTAAATTCCTCCGGGCTCGGCTCCTGCAGCCCCGCGGTACCGCCGGTCCCGGTCCCCCTCCTTCTGCTGTTTTTTTTTTGGGGGGGGAGTTGTTTTTTTTTTTTGGGGGGGTGGGAGGCGTATTTTGGCTCCCTGATAAGGTTTTGATCAAAAATTCATTCCGAGGCGCTGTGCGCAGCGCCATGAATATTTCAGGGCTTTTGCAAAACAACCGGGTGGGGGCTTGGGGGGGAGGATGCACCGGCGGGGGGGGGGGGACCGGGGGGAGAGGAGGGTGTCCGGAGGGAGCCCTGGGCTCGTTCCCTCCCCGGTGTAAGGCGTGAAACGACCACGGGAAGCCCCGGGAGAGGAGCCCGGCCCCGGCCCATCCCGTCGGGTGGCCGCGGGGACGCGCGGTGCCCAGTCCCGGTGCCGTGGAGAGGGGGGGGGCGCGCATCCCCTGCTCTGCTCCTGTCCTGTCCCGTCCCCCCCCTATATCACCACGACCCCAAAGGACACGGAGAAGCAGCCTCCACCCCGCTGGGCTGGGATCCAGTCCCGTACCCATGGGGGGGGGGGACCCCAAAAGCAGCCAGTGCGCCTCTTCCCCAGCTGCAAGGCCTGTGTCCCCCCCCCCAAAAAAAAAAAAATGGGGTGCACAGAGCCCTGATGGAGCAGCCCTCTCCTCAGCTGCTGCCTGGCAGAGAGGTGGCAGCGTGGGGTGGGGAAAAAAGCCCCCCCAAGCCCTGCGGCCCCCAGCGTTGGAGCCCAGCACCCTCGCGGAGCAGCGCAGCCCCCAGCCACGCCAGGCCTGCAGGTAATGGGATTTTTTTGGGGTGGTTCCCCCGTTTTCTGGGAAGGGGCACGTAAAGGTGGCCCAGACCCTTCTGCAATGGATAAGGGCCCTGCAGGATGGATTGGGGGGGGGGGGACAGAGCGAAGCCAGATGCTGTGCCTCTTTCCCAGCACCACCCTGAGCACCTGTCACCCCTAAAAAAAGCTGGGGGGGGGGCCTCGGTGAGACCTTTGGGTCCTGCACAACTGCGCATCGCACCGTGATGGGAGGTGGGCAGGGACACGGGGCCGGAGGGCGAGAGGGGCCTCGCTGCAAGCCCAAAGTGGGGCTGGGGGCACCCCGGGGCACCCCCCAAACCCAGTTTAGGACCTGTCGCAATGGGGCGGTACTGGACCTGTGGGCAGCCGGGGGGGGGGATGCGCGGCTCCGGTCGGCTTCCTGGGTCTCCCACCGCTGCCCTCGGTCCCGCCGGCCTCTGCCGTGTCCCCCCGGTGGGATGTGGCCCCCCCAAGAGCCCCAGCCCCTCCCCGGGGCTCACCTCGCCCTGACATTTCCTGGCGCTCCTTCCATGCCAGCGGGTTGCCATAGCAAATCTAAATCTTACAAACAAAACGAGGAGAAAAGCCTTATTAGCATATATTCAAATGAGCCATGCAATAATGCAAACCATAAATCACGCAGTCATTGCTATTCAATCAGTGTCTCTTACCCCAGCCCCCAACATTTTCCCCGGGTGTCTCGGCTCCTCGCCGCATTCACCAGCCCCTTCCCAGCCTGGGGACACGCAGCGGGTCGGGAGGGGACCGTCCCCACCACCTGGGGGGCACCTGGGCCGCAGTCACCTCCGCCGTCACCCCGCTGTCCCCTAAATTTGGGGTGGCCGCTGCCCTGCTCCTAGACCCCATGGCTGAGCATCACCAGGGGCCGGATCCATGTCGGGAGCCGCGTCCCGAGGCAGCAGCCCCTAATCCCGGCTGGTATTTACGCCGCTCGCTGGGCTCTATTAAACGGGAAAAAACTCTCCCCGGAATTAATCTCCGTGCCGTGGGTTAATCCCGGGGCTCGGCTCCCAGTAAGCTCCCCGGGAGCCGAGTTCAGCGCCGGCGAGTGGAGGGGCCCCATCCCCACGCCACGTCCCCCATGACACTGCAGGGAAGAGGTGCTGGGCCCCCCAAAAACCCGCACGTGGTGGGCAGTGCCACCTCCCCAAACCCTCCTTCCCATCCCCGATGCGTCGCAGGGCCCATGAAGGGTTTCCCCAGCCCAGGGAGCTGCAAAAAGCCCAGCCCTGTATGGGGCAGGTGCCAGCAGCCCCCTTCACCCCACACGTGTCCCCATTAATGCTGATATTTGGGGCACAAGAGGGCGTTTTTGTCTCCCTGTCAGTGGGAACACCATCCACCTGCACTGACCCTGCAGCGTCAGATCCTACAAGAATTTTTTGGGGTCTCCTGGAGCACACGGCTCAGCCATGGGGACACAGGGATAGGGTGAGGGGTGGGGTGACCCCGGTGCTGGGGGGTCGGTGACCCCAGGGAGGTGGCTTGGAGTCAGGGGGGACTTTGGGGACAGCAGCGCCGTGCCAAAATTAACGGGGCACAGCCCAGTTTTCCCCTCGGGGACATTCATGACCTGCCACCCCACACCGAGCTGCGCATCCCCACCCCAAAGGAGCTGACGCCAGGCACCCCGACACCCCCAGCTCTTTATTAATAAATAGAAAAAAAAAAGTCCCTGGGCTGGCGGAGCAGCACCCTCTGCCCCCCCCCCCCCCACCTCCTCACCCCAACCAGGGGGGGGCAGGATTTGGCCCTGTGGGTGCAGGGTTGGGGCCCCCCCCCCCGCTGCCATCGGCTGCTGCTCTCAGTCCTGCTGCCACCCCGTGGCACTTCCCAGGCACTTCCCAGGCTCGGTGGGGACACGCGGGGACAGACGGGGACAGACAGAGTCCGGCACCGGACACCGTGCCACGCCGGGGGGGTCCCAACCTCGCCGTGCCCAGCAGGAGCATGGGGCTGGGGGGCAGAGCTGAGAAAAAGGGGGGGACACAACAGTGTCAGGGAGGGGCGCTGGGGTGGGGAGGGGGAGGTCTGGGAGCTGCAGCCCCGGCGTTGGGGTGAGGACCCCATGGGAAGCCCCAGGGAGTTGAGGGGGGGCTCCTTGGGGGTCCGGGGATGGGGTGGAAGCGGGGGGGCGGCTCCCCCCTGCACCCCGTCAGCCTCGCTATCTCTGCCACCCGTCCACAGCCTGTGCCCGCCGCGGGGGGACGGGGACGGTGGTGGCCCTCTGCTCCTCCGCCAGCGGCCGGGGGGGGCCCAGGGGGTAGGGATAACCCTTGGCGTAGTCGTCCCGTGGCTGGAGGTCTCCGGAGCCTCGGGGGGCTTCGTTCAGGGAGGTCAAACCACCCGGGGGGGGCTGCGGGGTGCCCGAGGGGCAACCGAGCCCCGGCGAGACCCTCTCCGACTTGATGCTGATGGCGTGGTGCTGCGGGGAGCTGCCGGGGGCCGCGTCCTCGGCGGGGACAATCCTGGTGCTGGTCCTGGGGTGAGAAGGGAGGGTGAGGCCGGGTGTCCCCATGCGGCATCCCTGGCTGACACACAGGGGGTGGGAAGGGTGTCCCCCCCCCCCCAACCCAAGCAGGGCTGAGAGCCTCCCAACTCATCTCATGCACCGTCTCCATCCAATTTCTCGCCCCCGAGCAACGCTGGGGGGGCTGCAGCACCCGCTTCCCAGGCTGCCACCCACCCACACGCTGGCACGGCTGCTGGGAGCCTGGTTTGTGATGGGGGGGGGGGACGCAGGGGCTAGGTCCCTGGGGGGCAAATTCGGCTTTAAATAGGCTCCGCTGCCTGCGGGACGGGCTGGGACTGGGTGGGTGGGAGGGTTCCCAGCCTGTCCCCGTGCGCCCCAGTTTTGGGGTGAAACCGGACGGTGTGGGGCTGTGCTTTGGGTACCCAAAAAGAAGGGTTAACCCGAAATCCCCCCTTCCCTCACCCCGTTGCCAGACCCTGTCCCGTGCTGTCCCGTGTCCCCAACCCACTCCTTACCCCAGTGCTGCCATGTCCCGCGGGGGCTGCCACGAAGCCGGGGGGCCGGGCTGAAGGAAGCCGGGGGGCGGCGGGGCCTCGCCAGCCCCATACTCTGCCAAGCAGGGGATGAAAAGTGAACAGGAGCTGTGGGGGGGGGCATGGTTGGGGGTCTTTGACCCTCTTGGGGCACGGGGCCAGGACTTACCCGCTTGTGCCGGGGCGAGGAAGGGGAAGCCGGAGAGGCTGTGGTTGGGGATGCCGGCGCTGCCCGGTGGAAGCACGGGGCTCAGGGTCTGCAGACCAGGGTACAGAGGTCTCTGTGGGATGCGAAGGTGCCCCCCCCGGTCAGGCTTTGTGCTGCTGAGACCCCCAGGGGGGGCTGTGGTGCTCCCTTTCCCTCCCCAGCCCCGCAGCAAAGCCCCAGTGCATCCTCCTGGCACTGTCCCCCAGCCATCACGAGCACCCCAGAGACCCAAAAGCTGGGGGCTGCACATTTGGGGTCTTGAATCTATGGGGCTATATCTATGGGGCGATGTCCCCGGGTGCTGCAGAGTCCCTTGGTGTCACTCACCGCCGCGCTGCCACCGCTCCTGCCACTGGCCAAGCTGCCGTGGGCTTCGCCGCGCCGGCCATCGGCTCCCAGGTACAGCGGCGGCGGCGTCTTGGTGGCCAAGGCTCGGTTCAGGCTGCCGGGGGGGAACAGGGGGTAGCCGATACCTGGACGGACAGAGGGACAGGAGGACGCACGGATGGCACCGAAGGACGTGGAACCATCGGGCTCCTGTCTTCAGGGCTCCCCGGGGGATGCAGAAAGTGGCCCCGGTGCCCTCGTCCCCGGTGGGTGCCCGTGCGTGCGTGCACGGTGCCGCGCTCCGGCAAAGCCACATCCTGAGCGCACCTGGGCTGCGGTGGCCACCCCCGGCCCGCTGCGGCCACGGCCGTGAGCTGTGAGCGGAAACGAAGGCGACGGCCGGATCTGGCCCCGGGAACCAGCAGGGTGCAAAGCTCCCCGTCCGGACCCCGCTGCGGGCAGCCCTCGCGGCTCAGCTCCCCGCGGAGCAGCTGGGGGGACATCCTGTGGCACCTCCACCTCCCCGGCCAGGTCGTTGCCATCCGAAGGTGGGCACGCTGCGTGCCCACATCCTGCCCCAGGAGCAGCGCAGAGCCGTGGAGGCTCAGCCCATGCTGGTTGTGGCAAAGCCACCCATGGGTCGGCCACCCCCGTGCCACCTCCTACCCACCCGGGGGGGCTTTCCGCCGGTCAAGTCGCGGCATCAATTTTTCCAGCCCCGTTTTTGCTGCCCGTCCCCAGGGTGGCAGAAGCTCGGGGGGCACCCAGCAGCACCCAGTCCCACGCCAGCCCCACCGGGCACCCGGCTCCAGCTCTGATGCACAGGAGGGAACACGAGGCATGGGTGCAGGGTGCCCGGGGCCACCTGGGTGCGCGGCGGCCGTGACTCAGCAGCGCGCAGGAAGCAGCTGGAGGGAGGCCAGAAGCCGGTGGCGTTTCCGCAGCTGCGGCAGCGCTACCTGCCCACGCGCCCGCCCCTGCCCCGCTCCCGGTAAATCCCCGGGAGATGCTGCGAGGGGAGCTTTGCATGCGGCGTCCGGCCTGGAAAATCCCTACGGGGCCAGCGAGGTGGCCGCCGGGGGGACCTTGTCCCCGCTGCGATGCCACCCACACGCAGCCGAGCAATATCTGAGCCTACCTGGGGGCATCGGTCCCGGAGAGCGCCCCGAGAGCTTCGGTGCCGATGGTTTGAAGGCGGGCGGGCGGCCCTGGCTCTGCGGGGAGCTGCTGGTGCTGCCCAGGGCTCCGTCACCGCCAGCTGGTGGGGAGCTGCTGTAGGAGGCCTCGGGCAGCGGCACCGGGCTCTGCGGGGTGAAACAGAGAGCTGGGGTCAGGGCTGGGGTTGGGGACACGGCTCCTGTCCCCCAACATCACGCTGTGGTGGCCACTCACGTAAAACCGGGGCCGTGCCACCGTCAGGTCCATGCCCTCGTTCAGCTTCCGCATCTTCTCGCCGCCGTCCAGCCCCTCGTCCAGCTCCAGCTCGTGGCTGTCCAGCCCCAGCCCCTTGCGCTTCAGCGTCTGCGGGGAGCGGGGCGGTGAGCGGGGTCCCCTGCCCTTACCCGAGCCCCCCACCCTGCATCCGCCACCCCCCGGCGCTACCTCGAGGATGTCGGAGTTGGTGCGGCTCTCGTGGGGCTCGCTGTACTCCGTGTACTTGAGCAGCACCTTGTCCATGTCGGTGCTGGCGTACTGGAAGAGGCGGTTGGTGCTGTTGAAGATGATGAGGGCGATCTCGCAGTCGCACAGCACGCTCAGCTCGTACGCCTTCTTCATCAGCCCGAATTTACGCTTGGTGAAGGTCACCTGTGGGGAAGGGGACGCGGCGCTGCCCCGGTGCCACCGCCATGGCCCCGCCGCCCTCTCCTTTCCCCTCCAGCACCCAAAATCTGCAGCCTCTGGAGGATCCGACGCCCCTGGGGGCCGAGCGGCTTCGCCTCCCTTCGTCCCTCCCCAGCCTCAGCGGCTCCTCGTCCCTTTTCGTCCCCTCTCCTCCTACCTGCCGGTTCCGCTGGTCCAGAATTCGGCTGATCTGTATTTTTTTCCGGCCCATTTTTGACTCCTAGACTCGGAGGGAGACTGGAAGAGAGAGAGAGAGAGAAACCCCGTGAGCACCTCCTGGGTGCCTCCTCGCCCCTCTGCCAGCCAAAATAAGCTTTGCTGAAAAAAAAAAAAATTAATAATAACTTTTCAGAGGAAGTTTTGGTCCCGGCGGCATTTCCCAGCTTTTCCGCAAAGAGCGTCAAACCCCTCAAAATACCAAAAAAAATGGGAAATTCTTCAGGGGCAGGCGGGAAAATTCCCCTTTGCTCTGCTCAGCCGGCCCCACAGCCCCATCTCCGACACCCCTGCCCCCCGACACCCCCCGGCAGCCCCCCGGCAGCCCCCCAGGCACCTGGGTGTGCTGGCTGCAGGGCACCAGTGCCACGATCCCAAGTCCCTTGCCGGGAACGTGGGCTCAGCCTTGGCATCCCAAAGCTGCGCCGCCGCTGCCCCGCGCTCGCCCTCGCTGGGGGTTTTTACCGGGCGGATGGGCTGATGGGGAGGGGGGTCACAAAAGAGGCTGGGCTGGCCGCGGGGAGGGTCCTCGGTAAGACAAAGGGGCTGTTTTTAGGTTCAATGCTTTGTGTGTGTTGGTTTTTCTTTTTTTTTTGTTTTTTTTTTTTTTTTTTGAATGCGAACAGACTAAATTTGACCTCAGCCGTTCGCAGGTCAGGAAGTGGCTGTACGAGGAGACAGCAAAGCGAAACCACCCACCTCCTGGTGCCACGTGAGGCGGTGATGGGAAGAGCGAGGGGCCAAGGGACCCTCCGGATCCCAACCCCGCTGCAAGGTGCCAGCCCTGGCTGCAGCCCAGCACCGGGCACCGGTCCCTGTTGCACACCGCTGACACCGTGGGGACGCAGCCGGGGCTCCTCTTGCTGTCCCCCCAGCACTGGTCACCCCAAAATCCCTCTGGGATGATGCCGGGGGGCTTGGTTCCATGGAAACCTGGTACGGAGCCATGGTTGGCATCACCGTGCTCCCAGCGGGACCCTCGCATCCGCCCCAAATTGGGTGCAGCCCTGGGCCAGCTCCGTCCCCGCTGACCCCAAACCATGGCCACGGGGCAAGAGCTGGCCTGGGAACCAAGGACATTGCTGCAGCCCTCCGGGGGACGATGCTCCCCAAATGTCCCCGGGCATCCCCAAGCGAGCCCCTCGAGCCCCCCTGTGGCAGGGATCAGCCCCGGTGCAGGTTGGGGAACCGCCAGCCTTTCGCTCCCCCAGTGCCCCAGCCCGTCCCGCTTCCTTCTCTCAAGCACGTTGCCATTTACCATCTTGCTCAGCTGCTATATTTAGCTGATCAAAACTAATTTTAATTTATGGAAGGAAATTGTGCTGCCGTTCCCACGGCCCCGCTGCCACCCTGTGTCCCCGGGCCCACGCACGGCGCGAAGGTACCGGGGGGGGGTGACGAGACCACCCCAGCCCCGCGGGGAACGGCCCTGCCGGGAAAAGTGGCCACCAGTTCCCTGGTGAAAGCGCCGAGGTTTTCCCAAAACCGGGAAAAACCAATCCTGCCCTCCTGGTGCGGACACCTGCGGCACGGCACGGGGCATCCCCAGGTGCATTTGCGGGGGCAGCTCGGCTCCCACCTGCCCACCCCAACCCCATGATCTTCCGTCGAAGGTGCAGCAACGCGAGCTGCTCCCCGTGGGGGCCGTGCTCGCAGCCTGCTTTGACCCTTTTTGGCCAGAAGAAGCTGCACGGCCCCAAAGCCGGCCCCAAGCCCCCCGCGCCCCTGCTAGCGCAGCAGAGCTGCGCCCCGAGGGTTTCTTTTTAAAGGCTCACAAACCTCAGCACGGAGGAGAGGCCGTGCTGTACGCGCTCAGAGGTGCTGGGGAGGCAAAGCCCGTCCTGCAGCGGGGGCCACAAAATGCTGGCGAGGGCCCCCCCCGGCCGGCACCGCCACCCCTCAGGTGCTGCGGCACCCCAAAACCCTGCTCCAGCACCCCGCTTTCCAGCTGTGCTCACATTTGGGAAGCTCATCTGACACCGCTGGGACTGATCCTGCAAAGGCCCCCCCAACCTCTCCGTGCCCCCCTGCCCGTGCTGAGCCACGGCAAGGGACAGGGGTGCCCCTGGGACTGCCACATCCCCCCCCCTGCACCCAAGTAGGGTGCGTTGGGACCCCCCAGCACCCTCACGCTGATGCTGCGGAGCCCCTCGGGGGGCACCGGCACCCCCAGGACGATGCTGCGGAGGCCCCATCCCAAAATAGCAGGCGGAGGGGGGGAGGCGAGGCGCGAGAGGCGAGAAGGAAGCGGCAGCCACAGCGCCGTCGGGATGGGCTGCGGCGGGGGAAATGGGGTCGTGCCGGGGCCGGACTCGCGTGCGGCCCCCCCCCAGTTCCCCCCTTTTCCCCGGTCCTTTGCACCGGGGCTGAGGGCGCAGCGAGGCCTCGTGCAACACGCGGGGCGGTTTCATCAGCCGCCTCCCCGAGCAGCTCATTATTTCGGCAGCCAGCGCTCGGCCCCGTTGGGTCCTCCTGGGGCATCGCCCCGGCCACGAGGCCACCGCGGCCACGAGGGACCCGCGGGGGACTCGCGCAGCCCCAGCACCACCAGGCACTGGGGAGGGATGCTCTCCTGACCGCTGGTGCTGGCATTTTGGTTTCGTGCCTCCAAAGGGGCTGCCCCAAGGGTTCGGACACCGCAGTGCGGCACGGCACCAGCGCCTCGGTTCCTCCGTGCCCCCCCCAGCAGGTATTAAGGGATGGGAAAAGGGGGGGGAGGACTCTCGGTCTGGGTTTTAATTGCTGCGCCCAGGCGATAAGGCGATAAGCGGCATTAGTGCTGCAGGCGATTATCGCAGCTGCGCCGTGACGGGCACGAGGGGATGGCACCGAGTGGCGCGGTGTCACCTCCGTCCCTCCAGCCTTGTCCCCACGGTTGGGGACAGCACCAAGGGAGCGCCCCGGTGCCACGGGAGCAGCACCCAGCACCCACAACGGGCTCATGGCTGCAGCCCTCAGACTTGGAGAGCGCAACGGGGACCTCGGAAAGGAGCTCCCTGCGCTCACACCGGGCTCTGGGGGGCCCAGCGAACCCCCACGCCGACACAAGCAGAGCTCTGCAGCCCTCAAACCCAGCCTCGACAGCTTCTAGCCCACACCAGGCCAGGAGGAGAGCCCGCTTGCCTTGCCCCACCTACGGTTGAGGAGAGGAGATGCTTTGCGCCGGCCAGAAGCTCCCCACGCTGCCTGGCGTCCCGCCGGCCCCCGTTCCCTCCCACGCCTGCGTATCTTTAGCCCCGGCTCTCTGCTCCCTCGCACGCACCCGGCTCGCGTCCACCCAGCTCCTGCAAGCTGTCCCCTGGCCAGGATCCGTCCCTCGGCCAGCCGGGGAGGCGCAGCGAGGTGTCGCCCCAGTCCTCCGGCTGCAGCCAGGGTTATAATTAACTCCCCGGCTCCTGTGCATCTTTAGGGGTCATTTGCATCACGGCGGAGTGTGTAAACTTCCTATCCGCTCTCCTAATTAGTGCGCTGAGCCGGATCGGCCCCCTGGGAGCAGCGTGTTTTTCCATGAGCTGCAGCACAGCCCCAGGGCAGCCGCGGGGCTCGGCTGTGCCGCTGCGAGGATCGGTGCGGGTTTGGCACCGGGCACGGTACCGGGCAGCAGGGGCATCGTGCCAGGCTCCGTGCGGGGCTTTTGCGTCTTTCTCGATCTCTGAGCGCCCCCAGAAATGCGAAATGCGGAAAGTTCTCCCCAAATTCTGCCTGGGGGACGGATGATGGGGTGGTTATTAGGGTGGGCGGCTGCGCAGCCACGTCCTGTGCCTGGAGCTAGGATAAGGGGGAAGGGACAGGGAAGGGACGGTCACTGCCGACCCGAGGGGACGTGGCCTTGACCCCTGGGTCCAGAGCCTCGAAGTGCCAGGCACGAGGAAGGGGCAAGGAGCGGAGACCTCTTGCCAGGGCCTCTCTGAGCTCCCCAGTGCTTTATCATCCCACCTCCCGCTCTCCCTCTCCAACGGGACACTGAGGCATCGGCGTAGAAACTGGGCAAACGAGGTCATTTTCACCAAATAACGGGGATTTTGTTACAAATCTGGAAACGCTGGGGGTCTGCAGGTAGAAAAGGGGGAGGAAAGCAGCCAGCAAATCCCCCCCTGCCTGAATTTGGTGGCTTCTGAACAGCGTTTTGATGGAGGAAAACATCGATTAAAGAGGGCTAGAGAGTTTCCATCGCATCCTTCACTGGGATAAGACGTGAGCTTGGCCAGGAGCCACAAAATCCGGGGTGGGGGCAGGCCAGACATTGCCTCGCAGGGGCTGGGTGGGCAGCGGGCTCGAAGCGGGGCTGTGCAGACCCCCGGTCACAGCCAGACACAGCGCAGGGACCACCGCTGCTGCATCCATCGCCGGCTGGAGCTTCCCTGTCCCATGCTGGGGACCTGACCCTAGCCCTGGGGATGTGACCCTGGTCCCTGGGAAGGTCCTTGGGGACTGGTGGTGCTGGGACCTCGTGGTGCAAACTGCATCCCGAGGCTGGTGCAGGGAAAAGTCAAAGTTTAGCAGCGTTTCTGCAGGGGGGTGGCAGGCCCTTCTGCTTTTTATGGGTTGTTTAAACAAGCAACCAGTATAAACCAGAGCGGGCCAGTGGTGCGGGACAGGAGCGGGGAAGCAGGAGGAGCTGGCTGGGAAGCAGGGGAAAGGAGAACCCAGCGGGATGAGGGGCTTGGGGACCCCCTGGGGCCATCAGGGAGTTGGGGACAGGGGGGTTGCTCGCTCTGAACACCCTCCCCCCCCATCTCATACACACACAGTCAACTGAGCCCCGAAACAGACACACCAAGCACCACCCCAGCACCATGCAAAATCCCCGGGGACAATTAAAATTCATCTTTCTGCCCGCTTCTGCAGCACGGAGCTCGATCAATGGCATTGCCCTGCATCCGTCCGAGCCAAATTTGGGATGGGGCTGGACCAGGGGGGACCTGGGCACCGTCCAGCCCCAGTCCCACACTGGCTCCGACCCTGCTGGGGGTGACACAGAGCGAAAGTCCCACCAGCACCCGGCCCCTTGGGCGAAGCGCAGCGATGGGCGGAGGCTTTTCGGTTCCAAAATGACTGTGTGGAAGGAGGAAGGATTACAATGGCCCCAAAAAAACCGAGGCGGCTCTTTTCCTTGGAAAGACAGACGGACACACCAAGCCTTGCCGGGGCTGGGGCCACCTTTTTGGCTTGGTGTTGGCGATGCTGCCAGTGGCAGCCCCGGGTGGAAACGCTGTTCCTGCAGGGCTGGGCTGCCCCTCGCTGCAGCTGGGCATTAATACGGGAAATGATACTGGTTTGCTGTTGGGGGGGTTCGCTGGGGCAGCCACAAGGTGCTGCCAGCTCGCCTCAGCCCATCCTCGTGGCCTCAGGGCTGCGGGGGTTACAAACCTGGTTTGCTCCTGGCTGTCCTGCTGCGAAGAGGAGGGAAAGCCAAGGGTGCCAAAATAGATTCATCCTCCCCCTGCTTCTGGGTTTAAATGACCCCCGTCGGGGTTCAGCACATCTGACCCTCTGACCATCCAGGGATGAGTCCCACTGGGGGTAAGCAGCGATCCCTCTCCTTTGCCCTGTGCCAAGTTTTCTAACCCTGCTTTTCACCCACACTGCTGCTCTTGGCACCGAGGTATCGTCAGTGCCCAAGACGTGGAGGCGAGCAGGAGCATTCGAAGTCCTAAATCAAACCCAGGGCCTGCATCTGTGCCCCCAACCCCGCACCCTGAGCTGCAAAGGCCTCCCCTCGACCTTTTGGGAACATGGCAAAGGGACAGGATCTGGCTCCCTTCCCAACAAAACCGGTACCCGATGTCCCAAGGGATGCTCGTGGGCCAAGGGGACGCAGCCCATCGCCTTCCCTGGGGCACCTTCTGATCGAGGCAGGTCCCTGCCCTCCGGCTCACCTGCCAGCTGCCGAGTTAATTCATTACCCGTCTCCACAGCCAGCAGCTCTGGGAAACTTTTCTCTCATTAAAAGAGTAAAGCCCCGGGGACGGGGACTTGCTGGCAGCGGGCAGGAGGACCCGGCAGAGAATCCACCTCGCTCGCCCCACGGGGATGTGCGATGGAGCGAGGCTCACACGCTCGGGGACACGCTGGAAATGCCACGCGCTGGCGAGAAAGAGCCATGCACGGGTGGCATCCCAGCTCTGGAGCAGTGAGGAAACCGAGCTCCAAGCCTGCCAGAGCCGTGAACATCCCAGCAAAGCTATGGGGAGATCAGGCCCTGGTCCTGCAGCGGGGCTGGGGTGTCCCGGTGCTGTGCCCGCACCCCCAGACAGCCCGGCCGTGCCGTGCCTCAGTTTCCCCTCTGCACCATGGGCTCGCTCCCACCACCCAAGGCCCAGCAGGGGGGTGCTGGGGACCGGGTTTATGCGGCTGGCAGTGGTCGGGCAGGGCGGCTGCCCTCCAGGCTGCACTTTTGGGTTAAACCCAGGCGTTCCTCTCTGCACAGACACGAGTAAAAATAACCGCCCCGAGCGCAGCGCAAACCGCAGGCTTTTTATAGCGCTCCATCCCTAGACGGCGGGGCGGGGGCCAGGGCTCCGCCGTGCCCAGGGCAGCCCGCAGGGCGCCGGCCCGGCCGCACCGGCACCCCCCGGCCAACCGGCACCGGCCCCGCTCCCCCAACCCGTGCGCCCCGACGGGGCTCCCACCGCGGGGCTGCCACCACCCGGGGGTGGAGAACGGGCACGGGGCTGGTGGCACACGGTTGTCACCTCCCCACACACCCAACCCGGCACCCCGCAGTGCCCTCTGCCCCGGTGCCACCCGGTACCGACTTCCCCACCGGGGTTCGGGGGCTGTCCGCGTCCCGGGACGCACGGGACCCCCCTCTCCCACCCGGGCCACGCACCTGGCCACCGGCTGCTGCTCCTCGGTAAGTCCCCACCGGCACGGCAGCGGGGTCCCGGCGCTGCAACGGAGCCGGCCCGGCCCCGGTGCGGCCCCCCGCCGCCGCCGTCCGGTGCCGGTGCCGGTGCCGGTCCGGTGCCGGGGCGAGTCCCGGGAGCCGCGCGCTGCCCGCCGCTTGCCCCAGGCGCGCGGTTGCATTTGCATAACCCCGCCCCCTCCGCCAGAAAAATTTGCATAGAGCAGCCGGGCTCCCTTCCCATTGGAGGATATGGGGAGGTGATTTGCATAACCCCGCCCTCCCAAAATAGGAAAGGGGGCGGGACGCGCGCTAAGGGTTGGGGTTTGGGGGGGGGCTGCGGGCAGGCACCGGGGGGGGTTTGGGGTCCTGGGGGTGGCATAAAGGGGGTGTTGTGGGGGGTATGGGGGGATTTGGGGTCTGGGGGAGATTTGGGGGGAGATTTGGGGGGAGATTTGGGGGTGCTATGGGGGAGAATGTGGGGCTGGTAGGGATTTGGGGATGGGGGGAGATGTGGGGCTGGTGGGGATTTGGGGCTGGCATGAGATTTAGGGGGCTGTGCCCTCGCTGCAGGGGAACAGGTTTAGGCTGAGCGGAGGCTTCCTGGGGGTGGGTTTAGGGCCAGGCTCTGGGTTTGGCCCACACCAGATCCCCAGGACACCCCAGCATCACCAGCTCCCCACACATCCATCCACTGTGGGGCTGGGGGTGCCCGAACCCCATTCCCCAGGGTCGCAGGGAGCTCAGCAAAACCACGGAGAAAAAAAAAACTCACCTCACCTGCTCAGAAACGAAACAGTTAATGCACTCACTCCCTTTTTTTTTATTTTTTATGTTTATAAATGAAATGTTTTGCCCTGCGAGGGGACTTGTCCCTGGTCCCCTGGAGAGGCAGGACAGACACCGGTTGGGACAGACAGACACCAGCCGGGACAGACGCCAGCCGTGGCCGCTGCTGCATTTGCTCAGCTCGGCCATCCCCACCCTGCAGCGAGTGGTCCTGGAAACCAAAGCGGGGGCCGGTGAACCGCAGTGACATAACACGAGGGAGGCTGCGAGGAAGTGCCGGGGAGGCTGAGCGAAACCTCAACACGCACCCCACAAGCTGCCGGGGACCTGCATTGAAAAAAAATTTAAAATAAATAAAATAAAATAAAAATAAAAAGCAACCCAGCGCCTGCAAGGTGCAAGCGCTGCAAATCCCGCACGCCGAGCAGGGGCAGGACCCGGTGACACCTGGGACAAACCAGCTGTGATTTCCTGGCACCGTCCCCAGCAGGGGCACGCGGCAGGAACCCGCTGAGCGCCGGGGTACCTCAAGCAGGGTGAGGAGGATGCACGTGTTGGTGGATCCTGCAGCTCGAAACCGGTGCAGAGCGACCCGGCGTGCACTCTGCAGAGCGAAGCGAGCTGCTGCTCCGCCGCCTGGTGACAAACCCGTGGCCAGCTTGGGCTTGGGGGGACACCGATGGATCCTGGCTCTGTGTCCAGGCCCCCAGATGAGCTCCGGAGAGGTCACCGCCTGCCACCGGGGTGGGGACGCCAAGGGCTGCCCGGGAGCTGCTCATCCCACGGGGAGTGTTTACAGCAGCGAGGGGGAACTGATGCAACTCCCCAGCTCTCGCCACGTGAGCGGAGCTTCCAGGGCAGCAGTGGGAAGGGGTTTGCAAGGGTTGACTGGAAATCTGCTCCCAGGACAGCCCTGGGATGCACACACACGTCGTTATGCCCCGTTCACACCAGGGGTCTGGTCCCCATCCCTGGGCAGAGGGGCTGGGGGCTGGCTGGATCCGGGTTCCTGCATGGTTTTTGCAGGCAGAAAGGACGTGACATCTTGCTCAGAGCTGCTTTTAAAGCTCATGATTTACAGAGGGCTGCAGAGTGCAATTAGCAGACTGTTAATTAGCCCTGCTCATAATCTTAATTGATCCTGAAGACGAGGAGGAGGGAGGGGGAGCAGAAGTACGAGGGAATCGGCAGAGCAGCATTCTGCCCACCACGTGTCCAGGTGTCCCCTCCTGCCTTGGGGGGGTTTTGGGGACACGCAGGGTGGCCTCTTGTCCAGCCAGACCATTGGACCTCCCTGTCCATTGCCCTTGTTTTGGGGTTCCTTGGGGTTCAGCTTGGCCCAGAGTGCTTCCATCCGCAGCAGCCAACCCCCCTTTTTGGGTGCAGGGCTGCCCAGAGCCCCCCCAGATCAGGGGGTGCCCAGGCTCTGCCTGGCTGCTCCCTGCAAGCTCCAGGCTGGAGGTTCGAAAGCTTTGAGCTCCCTCTTGAGGCCCTTCCTGCCCCAAAGTCTTGGGGTTTTGGGGAGCCTGAGCTGCTGGGTGCCCCAGGCTGAACCCCAAAGCGAGCAGCCCATGGGGTGCAGCTGAGCCCCGTTGCTCTCCTGGCCACGGCGAGGGGACGGAGACACCAGCACCAGGCACTGGTTTGGGGACCCTGGGCCAAGCGCCAGCGACACGGGGCTGGGGACCAACATCCTGCACAGCCAAAAATGTGAGCGGGGCTGGAAATGAGCAGGGAGCCAAAGCCGTGCTGCCTGCCAAGGCCAACAACACCCGAGTCCAAAATAGCCCCGTGTCCCGTGCGGCTCTGGCTGGAGCAGAGGGTGCCAGCGGGAACCACCCACGCGAGACGCGCAGCCGTGACGGAAAGGTCGCCTGCCCAGATCCCACAGCCAGGCCACCAGGCTGGATGAGCCTGGGTCATACCTGGTCCCTGTCCCCATCCGCCTGGCCCTGGCAGGGTGCCCGGGACGTGCACGGAAAGTCACGACCCCAATGTCCCCCTTGTCCCATACGTGCGGGAAATCGGTGCTTTGAGGGCTGAGGGCTCGACTGGGGAAACTGAGGCAGGGCTTCCCGAAGCACAGCGTCTTCCCAAGATAAGAAGGGACCTGCAGAGTGAATTTTCCCAAAATAACGGGTAACCTTCCCGGCAGGGGGCACGCAAAATGGGGCTGTGGGGGCGCTCAGCGCGAGCCCCCCGAGGGAGAGCACAGCAGAGGGCAATTCCCAGCCGTTCCCAGGGGACGATGTGCTTCTGCTTCCCAGGATATTTATAAGGCACGGGAAACTTGTGCTGACGGCAGGGCAGCGCTTCGCCGGCCCTTTCTCAGCCTCGCAGGAATGTATTTGGGGTGCCCCCTCCCTGGCGAGGAGGCCTCCCCTGCAGGTGGAGGCCCGAAGCACCTTTTGAGGGGGCAGGATCAGGCCCTGGCAGCATCCCCTTCCCCCCAGGATTTTCCCAGGGGTGTGGGAATGGGAGAAGTGAGGGGGCTGCGGGGGGGAGCAGAGGGGTGCCGGTGGGGTCCCCCCCCCCAGCACCCTCCCGTCCATCTATCCCCAGAGCCCCTCTCCTTTTCCTGCCCCCTTAGAGGGCTTCGGGGGTGGATGCGGGCGGAGCCGGGGGTCCCGGCCGATGGGGGGCGGCCCGGCTGTGCACCCCCCTTGGCGAGGGGCCGGCCTTGGGGGGCAGGACCGGCCCGCCCCGACCCGCCCCGGCCGGGCAGAGGCGCACGGAGGGAGGGCGCACGCCTGGAGGGGCCGCAGCTCTGTCCCGGGGCTCGGTGCGGGTGTGGCTGCGGGAGTAGCGGGGGTGCACGGAGCTCCCCGGGCACGGAGCGGCTCTGCCGTCCCGGAGCCCTCCGGTTCTGGGTGTCCCCCGGTTCCCGGTGCGCTCCCGGTGCGCCCCCGGTGCGCCCCGGTTGCCGGTGCCGGTGCCACCATGCCCTCCTCCTACCCGCAGCGTGCCCTGACGGTTCTCCTGCTCTTCGGCACGCTGTCCGCTGCCATGGCCCTGCTGGCTTCCAGCCTCATCTTCCAGCTGCCGGCGGGGAGGACGGGACCCGTCCCGGTCCCGGTCCCGGTCCCGGTCGAGGGGCGCTACCGGAGGCGGCGGCCGCCGCGCTGCTGCCGGTATCGGCCGTGCTGGCCGCGCTCTGCCTGGTGCTCAACGTGAGCTGCCTCCTGCTCTGCCTCCTCCACGGCTACTTCAGCACCGAGCTGTGCCGGGGGCAGGCCGGGACCGACCGGTGAGAGCAGGGGGGGTACCGGGGTTGGGGATGGGCACCGGGGACTGAGGACGGGCACCAGGGATTGGGGATGGGAGCCGGGGATTTGGGTGTTCGGGGGGATTTTGGGGGCAGCCGGGTGTTCTGGAGTCCTGGGTGTGCTGGGGAGGCTCGGAGGGGTCTTGGATCCCCCATTATTGAATGTCCCTGGGGGGTGGGCAGTGGCTGTAGGGGACTTTGACCGCGGTGGTTTTGGGGAGCGGTTAGCGCTGCTGGCACACGCTGAGCACCTCAATATCACAAAGTTCTTCCATCGATGCCGTGCCAGCCCGGGAAGTGGGGTTGTCTCTGGCTGATAAGCCCAGGGGGTGGAAATACGGCCCTCAAATTCAGCATGGAGCTGTGCTGAGTGACTGTGTTATTGTCAATGGGGCAAGTTTGCAGCCACCCATCCACCTGGCTGCGCCAGGGCACCTGATTTATTTTCCCCGGTGTGAGCCCAGCCCTCGTGCTGGAGTCTGTACTCAGGGGGAGCGCAGGGGGTGCCCAGCAGCCACCCCAAATTTGTGCCTGTGCAGGGGCAGAGCCGGGCTCTTTGGGGCACTGCTGGCACAGCACCCAAACGACCGCAGGCCCAGGTTCATTAACCAGAAGACACGTGTTGACTTAATCATTACCAGCAGGTTTACACTCGTAAAACTCTCTCCAAAGCAATTCCTCCTTCCTCGGGCACAAGCTGGATTTTGGTGGTGGTCCCCAGAGCAATCATTTTGGGACTGCTCTGGCTTGGGCAAACCAAAATTCTGCTAGAGGACAGCAGAATTTAGGCTCAACAGCTCTGCCCCTGACCAGACACAACTTGTGAGCCTTACGCCGTGCACGACGGCCCCAGCAAGTGAGCAACGTCTCCGCTCGGTGCCTTGCAAGCGACGCTGACGTGTCCTCATTAGCGAGGGAGAGCAAAATATTTCTGCAAAACAGAGCTCCTGGAGAAAACCTCGCTCTCTGTGGGAGCTCAGCTCCTGCTGGAAAACTCCGAGCAGAAAATTCCCCATGGGCTGTGAATTTGTCCGAGGTTCGGTATGGATTTGGGGCTGGAAAATGCTCTTTGTGGAAGTGGCGCCGTTCTTTTTTTTGGGGAGCCCTGAGCACGAGGCAGGACAGGCACTAATCAGGCAGCCAAATGCCAGCTCACAGCACAGGGAGGGAGCGTGCCGGCTGCGGGACAGCTTGGTCAAGGGCTTCAGGTCAGAGCAACCCTCACGCACGGCCGTGGAGCCTCCTGATGCGTCTCCCCGAGCAGGAGAGCTGTCCCCAAACAATTTAGCTTTAGGTGATGCTTCTGTGCTCTCCTCCCTGCAAAATAAGGGCTGCTTTTGGCTCTGCTGCTGGCCGCGTGAGGCTCGGGCAGGTTGGAGCCTGCAAAGGGCAGGGCAGGAGCCTTGGATCTGCACCCCCCTGCCTGGCATCGAGCAGATGGCTTGGGCTGGCCGTGCCTCAGTTTCCCCAGCTGTGAGCTGAGCGTTGTGCTCAAGTTTGGGAAGAAAAGGGACAATTCTTGGGACGTTGGGGTGGTTGTTTGCAAGCTGTGCCCGCAGCCTGGGGCAGGAGGCAGTGGAGGGACGCAGCCCCTCTCCCCCACGATGCTGGATGCCGTTTGGTGCCATCCCCTCGTGGCCGAGCTGCCCCGGTCCCTCCGGCCGCCGGTTTCATTAGGGGACCCGCTCACGTCCCGGGGCCCTTTCCCACGTTGGGGCTGTCACACTGAATTACCGCTCCGCTTCTCAGCGCCGCGCTCAATGGCCCGAGCCAGCTCCAAACAAAGTCCTTCTCCTCCCCGCTAATCCAACCCCCCCCCGACTCAGGTAATTAATAAAACAAAGCGGCTGCTCTTCCCCGCCGGGCAGCGAGGAGCGGGTCCAGGCTCTATTAACGGCTCCTGGCTGCGACGGGCAACGTTCGGTGGGGACAGCAAGGCCGGGAGGAGGGGACAGGGTTGGGACACTCTTAGGGGGGAGTTGGGGACAGGGCACGGCGTCCCTGGGCTGCTTTGTTCATCCCACGGGGTGGTGGAGGAGCATCACGAGGGCTGAGCCTGCCAGGACCGTCGTGCTGCTGCCCGGTGAGCCGATGCTTCCGTGCCAGGGAGGGTTTCCAACCAGCTCCTGGGAGTTTTGGAGGTGCCGGCAGGAGCAGCGGTGCCCTGTGCACCCTCGGCACGGCCAGATGGTTCAGGGGGCTCTTTGTGGCTGTCCTGCATCGTGGTCCTGCCACATCTCTCGGAGCATTTTTGGGTCTGAGGCTCCGCGTCGCCTCCAGCCTGCGCCCCAGCCATGCTACACCGTGCCCTCATCCTCCTCAGTAGCAGAAGAGCCCCCTGGTGACTTCCAGAGCCCAGCGAGGCAGGACCGAGGTTTGGCACTGCCAGCTGGCTCTGGAGATGCTCGAGCAGCAGAACGAGCTGGTGGTGGGCTGGGGCTGGCCCCGAGACCGTGCCCACGGAGAGCGCGTGGCCTCGGCCGCAGCGCAGCAGGCGCAGGGGTCGGTGCTGCGCGTGGAACAAAGACCCTGCTGGAAAGGAGCTGGTCTTTTCATGTGTTTTAGGCACAATTCAAATACCGAGCCCGCTCCGGACAAAAGGCTTGCAATCTGAGCTGAGCAAAGAAAGCCAATCCCAAGGTTGAAGAGAGAAACCTGGCCTTGCTTCATTCAGTGCAGCGCCACTTTGCTTTTCCCTCGTTTCTTTCAGGGGGGAACGAGCTCGCTGCCTCACTCCTGTTCCCTGCTTGCTCTTCAGGGTTTGCTGAACAAGGACAAATCGCCTGCAAAAAGCCCTGAGCCATGTGAATCTGTCCCACCTGGTTTCCGAAGCACAGCTAGAACCAGGCAGGGAAAGTTTGAAAATTCACCTCATCTCACCACCTTCTGTTCCAGAGCGGGAACAACGCAGCCTGGCTGCCTGGGGGAAACCCCAATTCCGCAGAGCTCCTCGGGCTCATGACCTGCCCCTGAACCCCTTCTCTATGCAAAACCAGCGTTTCAGTTTCTCAGCAGGGGCCTCGGCCTCGGCGCTTTTTCCTGTGCTGAGACCAGCAAAGCGTTTTTCTCACCTGTTTTTGCAGGGCAGACTGGTTCCTTCTGGACAGCCGGACAGTTCGCCACGCCGCCATCGGTTTGTTCTGCTGTGGGGTCTCGGTCTACCTAACAGGCAAGTGCTCGTTTCCCACCAGCACAGCACAGCCCGGCGTGGGGGAAAATTATCCCAGCAGGGCTCGTGCAGCTTCAGCCCAGCCCGTGCCTTCAGTGCCGGTCGCTGAGTGCTCGTGAGCTGCTGAGTTTCCACTCCAGCATCGGGTTTGCTTTGCAAACGTCACGGCCAGCTCATTCCCGTAGTGAGATCTCTCTGTTCCCAGTGCCCAGCCCTCCCGGGGCGCTTCTGCCCTGACCTTTCGCAGCTCAGACGCATCCCTCGAGTCCTCACGCTTCGTTCCGCTTTGCTGCACTCTCCCTTCCAGCTCTTGCCATCTACATGCTGCTGCTCTTCGAACTCGAGGCCGGGATTGCCAGCGCCTGCATCCTCTCCTCCGGCATCATCGTCCTGCTGGTCACGGTGACGCACGCCCTGGTGCGCGCTTCCCAGCTCTCCCGCCGCAGCCACCCCGAGGTCTCTCCCACCCTGTATGAGAACGACTCTGCCCAGCACAGCGACCCTCCCACCGGTGACCTCAACAACAAAAACGTCGCCGCGTCCCGGCCCCGGCCCGAAATCCACCGGGAGTTTTCCTTCCCCCCTTTCCTGGAGCGCAAATCCCAGCTGGGATCCCCGGGCAGCAGCAACCTCACCTCGTCGGGGAGCCCCGGGGCTCGCTCTGAGCAGGAGAGCTACAACCTGCCCCGCACGCACAGGACGCTGTCGGCGGAGTCAGCCCTGCTGCAGGCACAGGGCAAGCCCTGGAACGGCGTCACCCGCGAGATGAGGAACGTGCTGGCCCGCAAACCTGGGGCTTCGGGCAAGGACTCGACGCTGGTGTGAGTGGAAGAGGGGCTTCTTCGCCCCGTCTCATCACGCGGAGGCTGCAGGATTTGCATCTCTGTTTAGAGCTTAACGTAGGTCCCGTCTCGACCCCCGTGGCAAGGAGCCTCCTCAGACCCGGGGGTGGCTGATTTTCCACCCTCTGCCCTCCTGCAGACAGCTCCCAGTCCCTCGAAGATGCGTGAGGAGCGAGGGGACCTAGTCCACAAGCAGACCTGCCCTCCTTCCCCAGCAGATCCCAGCTTTTTTTGGCTGCCTCTACCTCTCTCCCTTCCCCCTCCTATTTTCCTCCTCCCATTTTCCTCCTCCCTCCTCCATCCCCAGAAGACGGCACTACACCAAGAGCTCACGCCGCCAACCCGAGGGCTTCCCTGCAGCCAGGTTTAAGAAACCAGGCGAGGCGATGGAGGAGCAACAAGTGAGATGGAGCCAGAGGAGTCTGAAGGTTGCAGAGAAAGGGTTTGAGGTGGCAGAGACCTCCTGCTCGGGCACCAGCACCTCGACCCTCGACCCTGCACAGGCCCAGAGCAGCAGCACGCTGGCTTCTTCCCCAAATCTTCATCAGCCAGCAGTCAGCAGAGTATTTCAGGGAGTGAAAGGAAGCCACTGATCCAAACAGATCCTCTCACCTTCCGTGTTACTGTCCTGAAAGGCACCTGGCGCCCTGAGCACCATGCAGAGCATTTCTTTGGAATCTGAGCCTGGCACTGCTTTGATCCCCGCATCTCTGGGAAATTCTTCAGCAGAACACAACTGCTGGTTCCAAGGGAGATTAACAGTGCTCGACAAGGGATGAAGAAAGTCCAATTTTGTTTGAAGAGCAGGACAGTTTCTTTTTCACTCAAAAGGCTCCAACTCTGCGTGTCTTTGTTTTGCTCCGTGCCCTGTGAAACAAGCAGAGCCAGCAGGCTCCAAGACCCCCCAGCCTGAGCGAGCAAGAGGGGAAGGTTTGAGACAGAACTTATTTGTTTTGCCTTTTTATTATTGTTCTCACTAAGACCAAATTCAGCACTTCCTGGCACACACACGAGAAACTCTCCCTGCAGAATGCCTCCCGAACAAAGCTGAAGTGTGCCTACATTAAGTCTTTCCACAGCCACCTACGAAATACTGAAAGCAAGACCTAGTTTTTGCTGAGATACTTCTGTGGCCAAGAGGTAGAGAGAAAAACGCCTCGTAGCAGTCTGCCATCAGAAAGAACTGGAAAGGACAAATGCAGAACCACCCCGTTTCCCTTTTTTGCAGAACAGTGTGGGAAGAGGCTGCCCCACAAAGGCAGTCCTGACCCCAGGAATTTTTTTGCCTGCTCAGGTGCAGCACCTCGTTACTGGGAACAGCGAGGCAGGCCGACCTGTGGGCAGCTTCACAGACTGAGCGGAAGGGTTCTTATTCCTCCACGTGGTCGGTGAGCACGGAGCTGGGCTGGAGAAGAAGGCAGAGGACAGCCAGTCTTGTCCGAAATCAGGAACTAGCTGGAGGATTCTTGGCTTGTGGGCCAGCGGTGCTGTAAAAAGAAAGAGACAGTCATGTCCAGCAGGCAGGCAGGACGTCAGCAGCCATGGGAATGTGAAGAACCAGGGGAGCCCTAAAATAAAGCCTCACTGCTCGGAGAGGGAGAGCTGCTAAGACAAGCACACCTTTCAGCGTGCTGTGCAGGCTACGGAGCAGCACACAGCAGCCCCCATGGGTGTCAAGACAGCAATCGTCACAGCCACACCACCGCAAAAACACAAACAAACAAGAAACAACTCTAAAAATGCTCTGTTAGGGCTGCACGGTGTGACCCCGCTGCACGGGCAACTGGGAAAACACAGACCCTGTACCAGAAATGTCTAAAGTGAAGTCGTTTTTCAGAGACAGAGGTGCTTTGTCTGCTGGGGTGGTTTTATCCAGGACGGGCATTTAGAACTGTCCGTGGTGGGCAGGGGCATTTGGGAGTCTTCTCACTCCTAAGCAGTCAGACGCCAACACCAACACAGTTCTCAGGAGAGACAAATACACTGGGCTCAGACAATCTGCTGGAAGATGTTTTCGTAGCTGTAGTTCAGCTGCAGGCACACAAAAATGCATAATCTTTCTGCCACATCTGTCAGCACCACTAATCTCTGAGGGACTCTCCTCAGAAAAAGCCACATGGATGACAGGGTACCAAAGGCAGCCTCTCACCTACTCCATCTCAGTAGCACCACTCCAAATGCCTTTAACACAACAAATATTTAATGTATTACGGAACCAAACATCCCTTTTTAAATAAGGAAATAAATTATTTTCCAGTTACCCTTTTGTAAACAAGATTATTTGCTTCCCATGGCAAACAAAGCCAGAAAAAAAATCACTGGAAGGCAAGCAGCGCGCTCTTATAAATAACAGCCTGGAATCACATTACTGAGATAACCGCTTGGCGTGTTTGTACTGGGCTGTTTTACATCTCCAGAGCCTCTGGGAGCCAGAATGGGTGCCCAGATACACGGGCAGGTTGGTGCCAAGCCCCTTGCTACCTGCGGCCCTGAGCAGCGTTCAGCTGATCCTTCATGGCGATGGCGTGCTTGAGCAGGCTGTCGATGCTCTTGAAGTACACGCTGCTGTCCGTCATGTTCTTTATGGCACTGAAAGCAGAGAAGGGGTGGAGGGAGGAGGGCTGGTTAATATTTCCCCCCTGTGGCGTGGTTTTAGAGCCCCCCTGCTTTGGCAGAGAGGACTGGGAGGAAGAAACCTCAGCTTTAGGCAGCGCTCTGCAGCTTCAGCCACTAAACAGGCTGTGGGTGGATCTCCTGCAGGAGATCTGGCAGCTCTGCAATGCACACACGATTTGGGACGAGTGGGCACCTCATCAAAGCGAAGCCCCCGAGGTTCAGAGAGCTCTGCCTGCACCCTGAGCCTCCCACCCCAACCGCTCCTTCCCGGCTCACACCAGGAAGGTGCCAGCGAAGCGCAGGTTGCTTCGTTTCCAGCCCCAAAGCCGTGCTGCTGAGCCCAGCCCCTCTTTTTCGGAGAGCTCTGCACCTACCTGCAGGCGTACTCCACCGTGTAGATGGCTCCTTGGCTTTGCTCCTCCCAGCTCTGCATGTCGGACTGCAAGAGAAGAGCAGGCAGCGTTGGGCACGCACGGGGTGAGCTCTGCCAGCCCTGCCCTACCGAGGTTTTTGGCTGCTTTTCACCAGAAGCTGAGCTTGGATCCCAGGCTCCTGCCCGACAGCCTGTGACGCCTGGCTCCGGGTGCCGAGCCCCAGCATGTAAAAGAGCCATTTATTGTGTGGATTTCTGGAAGGGCTACTGCTTCGGGCCAACCTTTCAGATGCTCCGGCCAAATTCCCCTTGTTTTTGGATGTGCCCGCGAGGCAGCGAAGAGGCACGGTGAGGCAGGCTGCGAGCAGCTGCCCGAGCGCACAGGACTGCCTGGAAGTGCCAGCGAAATCAGACCTCCTGGTGGAGGAGGTCCAGGCTCTGAGCTAAGCCAGCTCCCTCCCCAGTCCCCCGTGCAAACCCAGATAAAATTGTTTATTCTGCAGCACCGAAAGCTCTCGTTTCATCAGACCTGCGACTCAGAACCGTTTTCACAGCCACAAGCCCCCCTGTTCTGCTGTCTGAAACTCTGCTGTCCGATCCCAAGCAGCACTCAGCACCGTGCCCTTCTTTTTATGAGCTTGGAAGAAGCCCCGGGGACTCCACACGAGTCCAGGAACTACACGCAGCTCTGGCGTGGCACGTAACTGCACGCTGGAGCTCCAAGGAAAGGGAAAACCAAGCGAATACACAAATTACAATGAAAGCGCAGCTCGATTCAGAGGTGTAGCTCAATAGATAACTATTTCCAAAGTCCTTAAGTAGCTCGGGCACTCTTGAAAATATGTTCTCATGGGAGCTAATTCTCAAGTCTATTCTGCTGGGTCTAGTTACAAGGCAGAGGAAATCCAAGGGCCCCTTTTTGTGCCTGAAGGAGGTCGGGTAGGAGCTTGGAGCGCGTCCAAAATCACTTCTGCTGTTCAAAGCCTGTCCTACATCGGGACGCTTGACCACAGAGCTCTAAAGCACAAAAGAAACAAGCCTCTACATGCAGTGCTCTAGGCAGTTCTCCGCAGGAGAGGGTACGTCAGCCCGGGACTCACAACCCCAGAAGCCGTCCTGCAGAGACCGCGCTTGCTCCGCAGTCCGATCACGTTTTGCACGACCGTATCTGTGGCTGAGAGCAGGGTTTGAGAGCAGAGGCAGCTGCAGAAGACACGGATATCTCCTGCAGCTCCTCAGCCTGTTCACTCCGAGAGGTGCCAGACGATCTTTAACAACCGTTTAGAGCCTGACATCCCGCTGGCTCAGCCGCTTGTGCCACCAGAGCAGCGCTCTGGACCGCCCTCGTGAAAGGCTCTGCCCCGCGAAGGGCAGGAGACCCCAGGGAACAAATTCCCAGCCCCATTTCTTCCACCTTTTCTGGACAATTTGAAGCGCTGACCCTCAGCCTGCAAAGCCCAGCACAGGGCGAGGGCACAGGGGCAACACTGGAAAGGCAGAGACGGCGGCTGCAGAGCTCCTATGAGCAAGTGGGGATGATGCAGCCTGCTCCAACAGCTGCTTTTCCGTGCTCCTGCCACTTCTGAGCACCAGCAGATTTTAATCATTTCCCAGTACCAGAGCCACTGACGCCCGTTCCCAGCATCCCCACCACTTCCCGGGAATGTGATGCCCTTAATTAGGAACAAAAAGCCTCTCCCTCGAGCTCCCAGGCTTCTTAATCTTTCCTTCGTGTCCTTTCTTGAAATTCCCAGGCTGTGCCCTCGGATGCAGTTTAAGAGCTAAAGCCAGCTATTAACATCCAACAGCACTTAACGACAGATCCCTGCTGCCTGGCAGCAAATTAACGAGGAGATCTACGTTCTCCAAAGACCAGGGGAAATCCAGACAGGCTGCTTGGCGTGGAGCAGGGCTTAGCAGCTCAGCCACGGCACGTGGAGGCAGCCAGGGCTTCGCATCGCTCTCCCTCTTATCAGCGAGGTGCTAAATCTGCCTGGAGACTTTCAGATGGTGAGGGAGGCATTAAGATAATTTTTAATCAAATCAAAGAAAGTTGCTTGTTGGAAAGGCGTGGGGGTGACCTTCTCCTCGCCTAAACTTTTTTCTCCCAGCTCCCTCCCTCCCGGTTTTTCCTAGGTTTAATCCCCTGGGAGTTTTAAAGGCTGGGTTTCAGGAGAACTCTGCCAGCCGGCGATGGAGTTGCCGCAAGGCTGAAGGAGAGCTGGGAAGCACCAATAAATCCCGCTCCCTTCACCCATTACTTACACCTGGGGAATAAATTACACGAGAACGGATCCGCGCAGACCGCTCCTCTTTCTTCTTTTCCGTTCCGAGGAATGAAAACCACCCTGCTCTAACGCCTTTGCTCTGAGGTAGATAAAACCTGACAGCGCCTTCACGGCGCGCAGCCCCGCTGACACCCTCCTGTTCCAGTGCCTTGCTGCAGAGCCGACGGCCCCAAAATATCCCCCCCCACACCAAATTGAACACTCTGCTGTGCCAACGGCCCCGTCAGGGCACCGAGCACATCCCTCTCTGCAAGGGTTTGGCCGCCTGGGCTGAGGGGTTTGGCAGGCACAGCCTGTTTGCTGCGAACTGCAGCGCCTGGAACTGGGATAAAACGAGAGAGGGATCAAAAAAAAGAGGGGATCTGACCACAAAGTCCATACCATCAGCCTGGCAGCGCAGGCAGGGCGCTGGCTGCCAGCAGGGAGGACAGCAAGCTCCCAACCACGATGCTGCAGCCTTTGAAAAATGAATATGGGAGTGGGTGAGGCTGGAGGAGGTGTCACCACCAGCAGCTCTGCGTCCCGTTGTTCCAGCTGCACCAAATCACCTCCTTACCCTTCTTACCATTTTCTTCCGGCCCTCGCCACGTGGATGCACGAGTAAACACAAAGGCAGGAGCCAAAAAAAGGGCTCAGAAGCTTCGCCCTGACCTGCACCGTCACTGCAGGAGCCAGCACCCAGGGCAGGAGATGCTGGGAGGCTGAAAATGAAGGTAGAAAAGGCCAAAGGAGCGTAACGGTTGTGCTGGCTGCAGTCACACTGCTGCTGGCACATGAAGAAGGTGGAAAACAGCAGCAAATTGGGCTAAAAAGAACTCTCTGAGATGGCTGAGAACCGATGAGCCCATCTAGCAGGGAAACTGCGAGCATCAAAGGCTGGCAGAGATCCTGCCCAGCGCAAACCCCGCTGTCTGCCAACACGCCCCGTGTCCGGCACGGCCTCTCGGCTGTCGCTTCCATTTGTGCTGCTGCGTGGCCCCTCGCCCCCGTCCCCGTGACAAACCGTGCCGTGATGGAAACTGATCTCTTCCCTCTGCATGACTCCTCATACAATTTGCTCAATTTCCTTTTGTTCCGGCCACCTTCCCCGAAACTTGATTAAACTGAGAGCGAGCGACGGCTCAGGAATAATATTAGAAGCCCGTGATGCGATCGCATCGGCGTGTGCTATAGGTGCACACACAGCTCTGCGTACCCAGGGCCGCACGCAGGCACGTATAGAAAATGCTAATAAATAATTGAATAATAAAGTGTCACAATCCAGGTTAATTTGGAAACTAGGGCTGTAAAGCAAAGGTGAAAAATGGGGCCTGACAGTGCATTAGCATAGACATGAAGCAGTAATCTATTCATGAGACATCACTCCTAATGAATCATGACTGGCAGAAGAGGGAGAAGGACAACAAGGCTGGCATTAAAGTGTCTCCGCTCCGTGCTCTGGAGGGAAGTAGGAACACAGCTGTGAGATGCGATTCATTATCCTGCCTTGCCTCGTGTGGGCTCCTCGCACTTGTTTCTTCCCACTCCCCCTTCCCTCCTCCTGCCCTCCTCCTGATTTTATGTCGGAAATAAAAATCTTGCAGTGTAGCCAGGGGTAATAAGATTTAACGCCTGCCTCCTCCCCCCTCCCCGTACAAGACAGGCTGCTCATTTTTCTTTGTCTCCGCACTTTGTCTCCGGTGCTGGGAGCTTTGGGATGAGGTTGGCCTGGAAAGTTTCACCAGATGAACGTGCAAATCCTCCTCAGCCCCTCCAGTTCGGGCTGAGCGGGGTCCCACAGCACCTCAACCCTTCCCAGACAATGTTTGTGCCCCCAGGGCTGATTCCTTTCCTCCTTCCCCATCGTCCCAAGATAGCGACGATGTTCCAGCTCAGGAAAAGAGCCCGAGTTTGGCTGTGCCTCAGGTCCGGAGGCCGAAGCGAAGCCCGACTCACCTTGTGCTGAGCGAGCTCTGGAAGCGATCTCCTGACGTGCTCCTGGAGGCGATAAAGCGCCACGGAGGGCTCGTTGGCCAGGACGTACATGCTCTCCGTGAACTTGTCCGTAACTGCAACGAGAGAAGCGGCGGAATTACTGAAAGCAGGGAGCAGGGGGGAGGAAAGTGGGGTTCGAGGGGTTCCCTTGGGGGGGCTGGGCAGGCTCAGGGAGCACCCGCTGCACCCTCCCACACCGCAGCTGCTCAGCGCCCTGTGGGGGCCGCTCTGGGACAAGGTGATGCGAGGGGAAAGGAAAAGAAATCAGAGCAAAAACCCAAATATTTCGGATCGCCAGCCTGTTAACAAGGGTGTGAAGGCAACACCACGACAGGCAGCTCGCATCCACAGCAAGGAGCACCGGGTGGGACATCACCAGCCCCAGCAGCTCAGCGCCAGCAGGGGTTTGTCCTGGTTTTGAGGACAGGGCCGCAGTTTTTGAGCAATTTGAGGTGGCCACGAGGCAGCGGGGGGCACGGGGGGCTGCTGGCTTGGCCACCTCGAGGGCTGGGGGCTCCGAGTCTCAGCCCGGCCCCAACCCTTGAGCTCTCCTGCACCTCAGCCGCCTCCACTTTGGGGTTCTTCTCCTTCCCCCTCCACACACCCACCCAACACCCCAAAAGCTCCCCCACAGCGGCCGGGGGGGGCTCAGGAAGGGCCGGTGCTGCCCCCAGCCCCCCAAATCCCCCCCTGACCCCGTCCCACCTGCGCTCACGTAGAAACCCCTTTGGGGTGCCAGCTCCACAGGCTGACAGCTCGCTCCTCACGGGACGTTACCTCAGCTTTGAACATTTTATTTTATTTTATTTTATCTTATTTTAATTTTATTTTTTATTTTATTTTATTTATGCCTGACTCCTCTGCCTCGCTGTCTGCTTTACCGGCCCTGTCCGCCCCGGCTCAGGGCTTTTCTTCTGTACGAGAAGAAAAAGCCTTCTGAAGGCGACCGCGACCCATCGCCAGCCCCTGCGTTGCCCGCCCTGCCCTGTCGCGACATGTCGCGCCCTGCCCTCCCGCGACACGCCCCGCCCTGCCCCGTCACGACCCCGTGACGACCAACAAAACAGCGAAACGGGGCGCGGGCTGCTCTTCCCTCCTCTCTCCCGCCCCGCAGGGCCCTATCGCGACAGATGCTGTCTCTACGGGGCCCTATCGCGACACGCGCGGCCGCTGCGGGGCTATATCGCGACCCGCCCGGCCGCCGCGGCTCCCTATCGCAACCCAGCCTGTCGCGACTGGGCGATAGCGGGTACCTCCCCCCCTCCACCAGCGCTGCCGGGGCCGCTCCGACCTTTCTTCACCTTCAGCTGCATCTCGGGCTCCTCCATGCCGGCCCCGCCGCTTCCTCTTCCGCCGGTGCCGCCGCTCCCCGCCCCGGCCGGGCACCGAGCCCCCGGCACAAGCGTTCCGCCTCGCTCCCCCCCCAAAAAAAAAAAACACAAAAAAACAGGGTTCCCCCCTCAAATCGGGGGTCCACCTCAAAAGAAAACAAACTTGGGGTCTTTCCCCCAAAAATTTGACCACTCGCAGCCGTTGGCGGAGCCCCGGAGCGCGGCCCCCAGCAGGTAACCGCCGCCTTCCTCCTCAGGGCTTGGAGGGCTCGGGTGGGCGCAGGGCTCGCCCCCCCCCCCCCTCCCCGCTCCTTTCCCGGTGTCACCGTGTGGGGACAGCACCGGGACCCCCCCCCGGGACCCCCCCCGGGACCTTCGGGGCTCGAGGAAGGGGGAACCGAAAGGGTTCCTCGCGGGGCTGGGGGCTGGGGTTGAGGCCAGGCCTGTGGGGGAGGCAGGGGGGTGGCAGGGGGTAGGGGGGTGGCCCCTGGGTGGTGGAGGCAAAAAGGGGCCCGAAATTAAGGGGAGCGATGGCTGCGTGTGGGGACGGGGCGGCCTGCACCCCACAACGGCCCTTTGTGTCCTGGGAGACCTCCCTGCTGCCCCCCCCCCCCTTGATATGGTTGTGGGGTGGTTCCCCCATGGAAGGTTTTGTCCCTTTCTTGACACAATTATGGGGCAGTTCCCCCCTAATTGTTTTTTTTTCCCCTTCTTGACACGATTATGGGGCAGTTCCCCCCGTAAAAGGTTTATCCCCCTTCACACGGTGGTGGGGCAGTTCCCCTGAGGAAGCTTTTCGCTTTTTTTTACGCTTTAGTGTCGCAGTTCCCCCATGGAAGGTGAGGAAGCAGCCGCCCGTCTCATGGAGGCTCCCCTTAGTGACGAGGACGCCCAGGAGCTGCCAGAAGAGGGTGAAAATGGAGCTGAAGGAGCAGCAGCCATGGAGGAGCTGACTGGGACCGAGGACACAGAGGATGGAGGTGTCCCCACGGGGCTCCTGCAGCCGGACAGGGACATGTTGTGCTCCAGCTCTGTGGACGGTGAGTGCTGGGGGTGGCAGGGGGGTGACAGCTGAGACAGGGCGTACCCAGAACCAAACCCTCCAGGGGGATTCAGACAGGGAAGGAGCCTGGTGAAAGCAGCTTTCCTGCACCCCCCTGCAGCAGTAGGGGTGGCTGTGAGGTGCTTGTCGAGCCAGCCAGGCTCGGCAAAGTGACACCAAGGTCCCCAACAATTATCCTTGTTCTGCAGGTGGAGCAGACACCCTTCTGAAGCCCTCAACTGCCTCGATGGACAGGCAGAGGAGCACTGAGCTCTCAGCCCTTGACAGTGAGTATTGCAGAGCCTGGTGCTCACAGATCCTGGTGCGCAGCCCCAGAGGGAGACGGGCGTGGGAGAGGTCATCTGCCTGCAAAGGGATCTCTCATCCCACAAACGCAGCTGGAAAAAAGTCCTTTACCACTCTTGGTCCTTTCCAAAATGCAGCAAGACTAAGTCCAGATCTAAGCCTTGCTGATGACTTGTGTTGGCAGTGAGAGGTCGCTGCAGCTCCATGCAGAGGAACTGGAGTTTGTAAAGTCTTTCTCTGCACTTTCCTAATTAAACTCCCAGTCGCTTGTTGGAAATACACCCAGGTTTCCAAGTGGAGCTCTTCATGCGTAGGAAATACGAGGATGAACTTGAGTGCATCCCCAGGCTGTCCTCTGCAGTATATCGTGTGCAATTACGCCATTAATGCCAGATCCCTGTCTCCCGTGGTGGCCCAGATGGACCGTGCCCCTCCCTGGGCAGCTGTTTGGGCTGTTTTATCTTCCCTGCTCAGCTGTTGGTCCCTGCACGCTGGTCAAACCTCGATCCCCAGGCTCTTCCCTTGCAAGGGGATAATTCCTTCTGTGCAGAGCTCAGTTTTGACAGGAGGGAACAGCTTCGGATAAGTCGCGTTAGGCTGACAGGAGTTTCCATGAGGCACTCGGCCTCTGGTCAGCCTGGTTCCTCCCTGGACATGGAGGAAATGTTCCCTGACTCTCTCCTCTCTCTGGAACAGGCTTCCCCCTGAAGCACTCAAACACGCTGACGAACAGGCAGCGCGGCAACGAGGTCTCGGCCCTCCCAGCCACGCTGGACAGTGAGTACAGCTGGGCACATCGTGCTCTGCACCTCACACTGCAGACGTGGGGATGCAGAAGGAGCAGCAGGACAGTGGGACTGGAGCCTCCCTCCATCTGCTGCTCTCCCTCTGTTCTCAGCGTCTGCAGAAAGCCGTTAATTACCCACTGGGGTTTTTGGGGGTTCACTTGGGGCTGTCTGGGTATCACCTGCAGGGCTCCCCCTTGCAGATGATGGGCGCTGAGCTGATTTTTGTCCTGATGGTTGCATTCTCTCTCCCCTAGCGCTGTCCATTCACCAGCTAGCTGCTCAAGGTGAGCTCAGCCAGCTGAAGGAGCACCTTCGGAAAGGTACGTGCCTGTGGGATCTCATCCCAGCTCATGCCGAGTCCTACCAGCTCACAGAGCACCCTTTGATAAACCCTTGGCTTAGTTTTACAGCCTTTGCTGGCTTTATAGGGGGGCGACAGGACGCAGAGGGGGTTTTGACCTTCCTATTTAAGATGTCTGGTTTTGTGCAGGGGAGAACTTGGTAAATAAACGTGACGAGAGAGGTTTCACGCCGCTGATCTGGGCTGCAGCCTTTGGAGAGATCGAAACGGTCCGTCACCTGCTGGAATGGGTAAGGCCACATTTGTGCAGTGCCTTGTTAACAAGAGACTTCCCAACTCCAGCCCCAGTGCCTGCCAAAACGTCCAGAACTGTCCTGGTGCCTCAGCCAGCCTTTCCCCCGGCACCAAACAGGCCACATTTGCAGAGCTAATGGCTCAGACGCTGCTGGATGCTCCCCATCAGGCTGCGGGCTAAGTCAGGAGCATGAAGAGCCTTATCTCACAGCTAGCAATAACTGTTTGTAATTAAATATCTGCTTATTGGTAATTTGAGATCAGACTTATCACTTGGGCCCTGTAATCTGCCCGTAAATGCGCTCGCTGAGGTATCATTGCAGTTAATGAACTCATCCCTGCATCGTCCTCAAGTGCTGGGCCTGCAGCCAGGGGCTGCGTGGGGGTGAGCAGGGACCAGGTCCTTGTGTGCTCCCCGAAGCTCTGTCCTCGTGTTACATAAACCCTGGCCCAATGCTGGCTCCTTTGGCTGCAGTTTGTTACCGGAAAGACAAACAGAACCCCAAATAAATGAGGGGATGCGTTGCTAAAGGAGATGGTGAAATCCAGGAGAGGTCCATGGCTAGCAGAGCTCAGAGGACAGGGCGGGTTTTTAGGTAGAGGACTAACAAAAGAGAGGATAGATACTGTCCAGGCGCCTCTAGACAGGGCCAGTAATGCTGTTACTGGTGATGGGGGAAAGAACTGAGTAACAGAAGCCATGAGGCTTAACTTACTGACACTGGAGAAGGGCTTTTAAGTCCTCACCTGAGACTTTTGTTGATTAGAACATGCCTGGTAAGGACTTTGGGAAGGAGAGGTCACAGGGACTGGGGGAGCGCTCTCTTCCCCACGAGGCTGAGGACTTGGCTCAACAATCAGCCAGCCCAGGGCGTTCAGCAAGGCTGTGCCAAGCTCCCTGCCTCTCAGCAGGGCTCCTTCACCCAGCGGGGCTAACATCTGTGCTGTCTCCCTAGGGTGCTGACCCCCACGCGCTGGCGAAGGAGCGGGAGAGCGCCCTGTCCCTGGCCAGCATGGGCGGCTACACCGACATCGTCATCATGCTGCTGGAGAGGAACGCAGACATCAACATCTACGACTGGGTGAGTGCTGCCGCGGCACTGCGAGCGACACCGGGCCCCAGACGAGGCTCTGCAAAGCTCATTTTTAAAAGCAGCAGCGAGTTCACCTCGTTCCGGGCCGAGTCAGCAGCAGCGCGCTTCTCCCAGCTGCTTCCCAGGCTCGCAACGCTCGTTTACTTGCTCACGCAGTTGTTTCGAGAAATTAATCTAGATAATAATTTTAAATGGTTTCCTCACTTGCTCGCAGTGGTGATGTTACCAGCCACAAGGAAACTGCACTCAGAAATTAAGGTTGTCTTTCGGATTACAGTTACTTTATTGCATACAGAGAATAAAACCCGCGCAGAGCCGCTCTGCAAGAAAACACTCAGCCCGGAGCTGGGAGAGGGTAGAAAGGGGAGCCCAGCGGGTCAGGAATTGACCTCTCTGGGAGGAGCAGGAGCTGTGTGAGCACAGCCCCGTGCGAGGCCAGCAATGACACAGCCCCTTCCCTTTCCCTGCAGAACGGCGGCACTCCTCTGCTCTACGCCGTGCGCGGCAATCACGTCAAGTGTGTCGAGGCCCTACTAGGTAACGGGGAAGATCCGCGCTTAATCCTCGGCCTCGAGTTGTGGCTTGTTGGTAACCGCCTTGGGGACGGAGCCTGACGTGCCTGGGGGGAAAGCCTGAGCAGCCTGGGGGTGTCACGGGGCGCTGCCCAGCCAGGAGGGGCGCTTTTTGGGGGTCTCCTCACCCTGCACCGGCCCCAGAGGGGACGCCGTGCCAGCAGGGGCACGCTGCGCCCTGACTGCCACTGCCTGCTTGCAGCTCGTGGTGCCGACCTGACGACAGAAGCAGATTCTGGCTACACCCCGATGGATCTGGCCGTGGCCCTGGGGCACAAGAAAGGCAAGTGTCCCTTCCACACTTGGCAGGGAGCCCTGACTTCCCTCCGCAGCGACCCTACAGGCAGCTCCCAGCCCAGCTCAGGGCTTTCTTTGACCTTCCACCACAGCTCCCTGCTCTGCCATGCAGAGAAACTCAGCCAGAGAAGTCAGATTAGGTCCTGTTCCCCTTGCTCCCCCTCCAAACCAGAGCTGTGCTGGCAGTGGGACCGGGACAGGAGAGATGGGCCCCTGGAGAAAGGGATTTTCCAGCTTCCCCTTGGAAAACAGGAGCCAAAGAGTGCCCAGGTCCTACCCACAGCTGAAACGGGTTCTTACAGGCTCGGCTTCCCTGGTTTCACCTCTCTCCCTTCTCTTCCCCTCATTAGTCCAACAGGTTATTGAAAATCACATCCTCAAGCTATTCCAGAACAAAGGGTTGGAGTGACAGTGGCTCACTCTGCAGCACCAGCGCTTCTCTTGGCCGACGCAGGGCTCTCTTCTGGGACCAACGTGGCCTGACCCAGCGGTCCCAAAACGGGCAGCAGCACAGTGCTTCAAGCAAGGAGCACGTGGAGGAAGCTGTGAACCAACCGCTTGGCCTCGGCGGATTTAGGCCACTCCTGGAAGATGGCACGGCCTCGGTGCCTCGCACCCAGGGACACTCACTCCTCAGGGCAGCTGCATTTCTGCTCCTTCTGGACTCAGCTGCTTCGTGCGTGCATTCAAGTATTGCATTTTTTTGGAAGTAAACCCTAAAAGCAGCCGTGTGGAGCCCTGTCTCTTACCTCAATTGCATCCCCATGGTCTGTCACGGCAGCCAGCCCCCCATCCCAGCACCAGCTAATAGGGAACTGGGCCAGCCTCTTTGAGGCTGGCACCCTCCTGGCGCCCCCATATTCCTCAGGGCTCAGTCCTGGGGTGTCTCTGACCCAAAAAGCAGCCGGGAAGGAGCTGGGGGCCACCACCACCGTTTATTCAGCCGGCTGCACCGGCTGCATTCCCCCCAAAAAAGGCACCAGAGGTGGTTTGCAAGTCCAGCCCGTGGATCCCTGCACAAACATCCCTCCTGCAAGGCCATCCCGGGGGGGGGTGAGGGTCCCCTCTCCACTTTGGGGTGCAGTTGGGGGCGGCGCAGCCCTGCTGGCAGGGTTTGCTGTCCCGTTTCTCCCCATGTAGCAGAGCCCCTGGGGACAGGGGGGGGAAAATGAAGGTGCTGGGAGAGCAGCTCCCCCCCAACACTGCTGCCCTACAGCCTCTCCCCCAGCACCCTGAGGTGGTACACCACGATGCGCCCAAAGAAATCCGTGCTGTTCTCAAAGGTGATCTTCAACTTATCCAGAGCCGTCTCCTCCACCTCGAATCTGTGCAAGGCCCATAAAGGAAAAAAAAAACAAAAAAAAACAACAAAACCAGGCAGGGGGACACCCCCACATGGGGTAAACCTGTTTTAGCAGCAGCAAAATACCACCAGGCACCTGTAGGATCGTACCCTAAAGACCTCAAGTGGCAAAAAGGATATCTGCATGGCGTTAACGTCCTCGGGGTACAGCTCGGATATTTTCACCAGTTCTTCGCCCGTTCTGCAGCCTGTGGGGTGTGAGGATGGAGGCAGCCGTGTGGAGGTGCTGGGGGAGCCCTAAATGACTGCCATGGGGTCAGTCACCCCCAAAATCCTTTCTGCATGGCTGTGCTGCAGGGCTGGGAGCAGCGGGTTTGCCAAATGATGGGCGAGGTTCCCAAAGTGTCCTGGAGAACCCCGGGTCCTCACTCTGCACCCCAATTCTGCTCCAGCCCACGGCCCCAAGCCCCTCTGGAGTTTTAGGAACAGCTAACAAATGGCTTTGGGCCCTATAACAAAGCTTTACGGGATCCAGGCATGGATAAAGGGAACCAGAGGCGCCCCAGGAGCAGCTCCTCACCTTCCAACGTGCACAGCCGGCTGGAGAATCCCCCCTGGAACTGGATGTGGAGCTGCGAGACCCTGACGGTGCGGGGAAAATCCACGGTGACCCACTGGCGCGCGCCCTGGAGGCAGGAACGACACCGGGGCTCCATCAGGGTGGGGACAACGGGGTTTTTAACGGGGGCACGGCTCCCACCCTCACCCCAGTACCTGGTCCGAGTTCCAGCACGTCTCCTCGTTGGCGTCGAACATGTGCTGCTTCCCGAACTGCTTCACATCCCGGTTCAGCACGGAGCTCACCCTACAGGGATGTGGGTCACCATCCCGGGGATGTGATGGGGACAGCGTGGCCCCGTCCCCCACCCCATCCCATCCCCCTGGGGACCAGGACTCACCTCGTGGCCGTGTCGGCGCAGATCAGGGGCTCCGCGGGCATCGCTGCGTGCGGGGAGACGGGATCGGGATCGGCTGCAGGGGGCACCTGGAGAAAATTGGGGGCACCTGGGCAGGGCTGCGGCACCCGATGGGGCGTCCCAAGCAGCAGTGGGGGCAACCTGGAGTGACTTGGGACCCCTGAGCAGCACTGGGGACCCCCAGGAGAAATGGGAACCCCAAGCGCATTGGGGACCCTATGGCACCTTTGGGGACCCCCAAACAACATTGGGGACCCCCGATCCGCAGTGGGGACCCCCAGTAGAAATGGGAACCCCGAGCAGCATTGGGGACCCACCCTATAGCACCTTTGGGGACCCCTTGCCAGTACTGGGGACCCCCACAGAGCATTAGGGACCCCCGGACAACCATGGGGGCACCCAGTAGCAATGCTGACCCCCCGAGCATCCCCCTGCGCCCCCCTCCCGTGCCTCCCCCATACCTCCCAGCCCCACACTCACCCCGTGCCCCCCCCGCGCCCATCCCTGCGCACACCCCGTGCCCCCCAGCCCCGCATTTACCCCATACACCCCCGCCTTCGCCCCCAGCCCCGTACTCACCTCGTGCCCCCCCCGTGCAGGAAACGGCGCAGCCGCTTCCGTGGGGCGGGACCCGCCTCCTCCCGCCCCCCCCCCCCCACGCTCCGCCCCCCCCCCCGCCAACCGGGGAGCGGCTTTGGGGTGGGGGCACCCCCAATGCACCGGTGGGGGACACTGGGGGGGGACAGGGGAGAAAAGGGGGGGACCCTACAGCACCGCCGGGGGGGCCCCATGCGGCACCCTGGGTCTGGCGCTGCACCCCCAAGGGGGGGTCAAGCCCCCCCCCATTGAGGGCTTCGGTGGGGACCCCACGCTTCAGAGTTTGGGGGGGCTTTGCGCCGTGTCCCCCCTCCCCAGGGGGTGCGCAAAGTGGGGAGGAGCCCCGCGCATTGAGCACCCCGGGGTGTGTGGGGGGGCGTGCCCCCCCCCCCCCAGAACCCCCCGAGGGGCTGCCCCTGCGAAGGCTTCGTGCCCCCTCTTCTCCATCATCACCCCCCCCCCCTTCCCGGCTCCTGCTCCGGGGGTGGGCTCCGGGGGTGTCCCCGGCTGGGTGCCCTCCTGGGCCAGCTCTGTAGGTGGCACTGGCGGAGCGCGGCTGAGGGGAGCGCCCCGGAGGCGCTGCGGGGGGGTTTTGGGGGGGGGGGCAGCCGGGTGCCGGGGGGGTGCGGGAACCTTGGCACCACGGGTACCCCTGCGCGCCCCGGCATCGCCGCACGGGAGCAGCCCCACGGCGGAGCTGGTCCTCACGCCCCCGGCTGTGTGTGCCAGCATCCCAAAATGTGCCAGCATCCCTAAATGTGCCAGCATCCCTCAACATTCAGCATCCCTCAGTGTTCAGCATCCCTAAATGTTCCAGCATCCCTCAATGTTCCAGCACCCCACGTGCTGCATCATCCCCATGTGCTCCAGCATCCTGAAATGTTCCAGCATCCTGAAATGTTCCAGCATCCATCAAGGTTCCAGTATCCCCGTGTGCTTCGGCATCCCAATGTGCCCCAGCATCCCCAAATGTTCCAGCACCCAGAAATGTTCCAGTATTCCCCTGTGCTCCAGTATCCCCATGTGCTTCAGCATCCCCAAATGCTCCAGCATCCCCAAAAGTTCCAGCACCCGTGTTCTTCAGCATCCCCAAATGCTCCAGCATCCCCACGTGCTCCAGCACCCATAAATATTCTAGCACCCCATGTTCTCCAGCATCCCTGTGTTCCCCAGCATCCCTAAATATTCCGGCATCCATAAACGTTCCAGCACCCATAAACATTCCAGCATCCCCCAATGTTCCAGAACCCGTGTTCTCCAGCATCCCCATGTGCTCCAACACCCATAAATATTCTAGCACCCCATGTTCTCCAGCATCCCCATGTGCCCCAGCATCCCTAAATGTTCTGGAATCCCTAAATGTCCCAGCATCTATAAATAATCCATCATCCCCAAATGTTCCAGCCCCCCTGTGTTCTCCAGCCCCCCTGTGTTCTCCAGCACCCCTCCACGCTCCATCACACCTGCCCAGGTGCATCCCTACGTTGGAGCACCCCTGCTCACCCAAACCACCCCCCCTGCAGCCCCCTGGCCATGCTGGCGGGGTCCTGGCCGCTGTGCGGGGTCGCGCTGCGCACCCCAAACCTCAAAGGGAGCAGTGGGGAGCCTGCAGCAGCTGTGCAGGGAGAAACAGCCCCGCTCACACACGCACACACTCACGCCAGCTGCTTAAAATGATCCTTCACAAGCATATGGTGCTGCTGCGCTTGCCCACGGCCCCGGCTCTTTGTGGGTGCTCGGCGAGGCTGCCAGCCCCAGCCCCGCGGTGTCCCGCGTCCCCCTGCCAGCCCCCACTGCCACTTGACTGGGGGAGGTGACAAAAAGCCAATGGCACAGCGGCGGTCTGCAGCCCTCCCGAGCCTCCCCGGGTGTTTGTCTGCCAGCATGAGTCACAGCGACCGCGCTGAGGCTGCCTCTGAGCTCAGGCAAAAGCAAAAATAAAACCGGGCAAGTGCTGCAAAGCCTTCGCCTCCCCCCTGCAGCACGGCTCTGAGCTGGCACGCAGGGCCTGGGGGGGGCTTCGTCCTCCTGGCTTGGCCCCCGTGAGGGCTGTGCACACGCGTGTGCACACTGGAACACGTGTGCACGTGCACATGGGTGGCACCGAGGACACCCACACCTGCGCGCCCTTGCACGAGCGTGCACGCGATGACGGCGCGTGCAGGCACACGCGTGCGTGCGTGACGCACGCTGCACCTTCCTCCTCCTCCCTCCCCGAGTTTTGCCTGAGAAATTGGGTCAGGAACACGGGAGCCTTAATTGTCACTCGGCTAATCGCACGGTGGGGGACAGGTCTGCTATTTCTGCCACCGCGGCCCACGCCTCCTCCCACCTGCATCTTCCCGGCAGCGTCTCCGCTCCGAGCAGGGTGCACCGAGCTGCTCCCTGCCTCGCTGCAGCCCCCTTGTCCTTGGAGGCATCAGGATGGTGACTACCCCCCTGCCACCACCCTGTCCCCATCTCTGCCTGCTCAGCACCCCGTGTCCCCTGCGTTCTTCATCCTTCTTCGCCCTCCTCGCTCTCGAAGAACAGCCCGGGCGGGTAGCGCGGATATTTTGCCATAGCCCTGAGCAGCTCGGCTCGCCCCAAGGGAGGATTTTGCCTTTTATAAAAGCTCACAGAAAGCTGCTGAGATGAGAAACCAGGCACCGGCACGGAGCCAAGACCCCGCTCCCACCAGGCGAGACCCCCCCCCTCCTGTGCCACCCCGTGGGGTGCTGGCCCGGCGCAGGAAGCGGGTGCCGGCGCCTTTTGTGCGGCGGGGTGGCAGCGTGCGAGTTTTTGCTGAGCAACCCCGGCTGGCGCGGGGAGCTGCTTCCGAAGAAGAAGAAGCTGGTTTTGTGCCCTTTGCAGTTAATTACTTGCGGCGATTGATTTCCACTTCCGTGTAAACGCCGGGGATTACCGGTGAATGCGGCACAGGCGCTATTCAGCGCCACCGCCACCCTGCCCGCCACAGGGCCCTGCCTGTTCTCCCCAGGGTTGATGCGACGCTGCCTTCATCCCCTCCGCCGTGCCGGGGGGGTGCTGGGGGCCAGGGGGCTGGGAAGGGCAAGATTTGGCACCTCTGACTTCCACCGCATGGCTGCGGGGTCGGTAATTGGTGCTGAGGTGGCATCTGCGCGCTTGGGAAGGAGCCGTGCAGGGCAGCGGTGAGCGCACTGCTCCGGGAGGAGGCAGAGGAAGGGATGTAATTAGCGTTATCTCGTTAAAACCGGCCACGAACCTCCTGGCGAGCACCCTGCCGGCCGGAGCAAAGGGTGCCGAGCGCCCACGGGGCCCCTCAGCGCCACGGGGCTGCTGCCCGAGAGGTGACACATCAGCCGGGAGCAGGTGTCGGGGATGAGGTGCCACTAACGAGCCCGGTGCCGTTAACGAGCCTGGCTCTGCTAATGGGCATGCTGCTCAGCGTACCCACGTGGGCAGGACCAGGGGGGCAATTACCACCAGGGCTAATAAAGCAGCGCCGCGTCCAGCCCTGCTGCTGGTTACTGCGGGTGCCAGAAAGAGGATGAAGAGGGGGGAATGTCCCCTGGACCTGGGGGGGGGACACGTGCCCAGACCTGCTCTCTGCTCCCCCAAATCCCCCCCATGCTGCAGCCGGGGCAGAGGTGCAGGATTTGGCCCCCTCTGTGGATTCGGAGCTGGTGGTGCTGCCACCCCGGGGGGTCCCCGGAGGAGGGGACCAGGCTGGGTCACGGCCCTGATGTCCCTTGAGTCTCCTTTGGGGGCCGGGTGCTCGCCGGGGAGGGCGCAGGAGCGGGTCTGGGCTGCCGGCAGGCCGAAGGGGGAAGGGAAAGAGGCAGTTGCCATGGAAACAGAAAATAAAATCAATTCATCCTGCCAGTGGGTTCGCAGTGAAGTTGTGCTTGGCCAGGGCAGGGTCCCCCATCCCCGGGCATGGCACCCACGGTGGCCCCCAGCCCGCGGTCCCCTCCGTGCCCTTGTCACCCTGCCCGGCTCAGGGCATGGGGCAGTTTGGCCCAAAAGTGGGGACGCTACTGGGAGAAACTGGGGCGAGCTGCAGGGTTTGGGGACAGCATGGAGGCGACTCCATGGCACCAGCTCTGGGTCTCATCCGGATCAGCCCCTGGATTGGGGCGTCCTGCCCTATTCCAGCCCCAGCCCCGACATCACAGCAGCATTTTCACCAAGGCCAGGCACCGGCTGTGGCTCTCCCGGCATCCCAGCCCCACAGAGCCGTCCGTCCATCCATCCATCCGTCCATCCATCCGTCCTGCTGCCTGTCCCCGTGCCAGTGCCCCGAGCGCTGGCCCCAGCTGCGGTGGCAGGGGCCTCATTATGGAGCCGTTCTCCCAGTGAATGTGGCAGCTCTCCTGGAACGGGCTTCATTAGCCGGAGGCGGACCTGAGCGGAATAACAAGCGGCTCGCCGGGGCGCGGGACGGGGTCCCCACGCGCACCCCAAGGGACACGGCCGGGCTCTGGCTTGGCCACATCCCCTCTGTTGTGGTCCTCAGCAGGACGTACACCCGGCTGAGACCTCCCAAACTCATGCCATGTGTGGCTCCTGATCCCTTCGCCGTCCTACGGGGCCGTAGTTGAGCGGGGGGCTCTGCCATGGGGTTGCCCCAACGCCGGTGCCGTGCTGGTGTCCCCAGGGGCAGCGCCAGGTCCTGGCCTTTGGTGGCAGGAGCCCCTCGCCCCCGTCGTGCACCCGCACGCCCGCGGCCGCCTCCCCGGCGCCCTCCCCGCATCCCTGTCACAACAAAGGAAAACATCTTTGGATGGAAACTGCGGGAGGGTCGTCACGGCAACACTGCTGCAGGATTTCGCCAGAAACCCATCGTTCCGGCTCAAAAAGGCGCTCCTGGTC